ACAGAGACAGTAACTTTGGAACTTATCATAAAAATGGAAAGTTAAGTAGACATATACTTATACATATACTTTGCCAGTTGGTGGTAGACAATGAAGAGAGGGTTTGAGAGAGGACGAGGTGAGGGTAGTGAGGACCCAATCAACCCAATATAAGTAAAGAAGGGAGATAAAAGTACCAAGAGAAAAACATGGTGCGCAGAAAGCATAAAGTAAGAATAGAACTAAGTCCAAATATAGCAGTATCACAATAAATGAGTTAACTTGAAATACAACTCACAAATATCACTGATACACATCAACACTGTATACTACCACTTGTTTAATACTGTTTTGAAGCAGTACTCTAAAGTTTAAAGTAAAAAGGCTAAGTGTTAAATTCAAGAAATGAGAAAGAGGGGCTGGGGATTTAGCTCAGCGGCACAGTGCCTGCCTGGCAAGTGGGAGATCGTGAGTTCGATTCCCGGTACCAGAAAAACAAAACAAAACAAAAAAAAGAAACAAGAAAGACAATAAATTCAAATAAAGAAGAAGGAACTATAAGACTACAGACCTGTGGTGAAGATCTGACAGGAATACGACACAGGAAGGGGGCACAGTGTGAATACTGTTGTAATGTTTTAATTTCTTAAACTATTACATACATAAATATTGCGCTGTGCTCTCCATTAATTTTTAGGTCAATTTCATGAAAAACAAGAACATCTGACACTCCTCAGAATGGCAAGAAGCCTAGCACTGTCAATTATTAGAGAAGATACAAGAAACCAGAAGTCTCATCCTCTGCTAGGGCAAGTATAAATTATTTCAGTTAAAATGCAGTGTGGAGGCTTCTAAGTATATAAACCAAAGAGTTTATGCCATGAGACCAAAAATGTGACTTCTTGACCTATACCCTAAAGAAATGAATGTCTAGAAGACATACACAGAGATATGCTTTGATAGCAAAAAAACTAGAAACAACTTAATATCCAGCAAAACAAGAATATATAATACACTACGCTACACACATTCTTCTGATCTACCTATCAGCAAGGATCCATCTCAGACAAATAGTTTCCTGTTTAAAAACAGCAAGTTGAGCTGAGCATGGTGGTATGCACCTATTATCCAAATGTTCTGCAAGCCTGAGGCAAGAGTATCACAAGATCGAGTCCCATGTAGGGAACTTAGCAAGACCCTCTCTCAAAAATTAAACAAACCAAAAGAGCTGGGGATTTAACTCAGTGCAAAGGTCCTGAGTTCAATCATTTAATTACACAGACAGACAGACAGACACACACACACACACACACACACACATACACACACGTAACCCCGGAACTCTAGAAGGCGGAGGCAGGAGGATGTCAAGTTCACATCTGGGCAACTCAGTGACTTAGTGAGACCCTGACTCAGTATAAAAAAGGGCTGAAGGTGTAGCTCAGCAGAAGGCCCTGTGTTCAACCCCTAGGACTGTAAATTAAAACACCACTAGGTATTGTTTATGAATATAAACATATGGAACAAGAATACAGAAACAAAGCATAGCAAATTACACACCAAGTTCTTGATTAGGGTGATCAGTAAGAGATGCTGGGGAACTTTAACTTCATCAGTAAAGTCATAGGTGGTTTTTTCTTAGAATATGTGCAATGTATCTAAAAAAAATACCAGTATGTTAATTCTACATAGTAGACACACCAATTTTTGCTACATTATTTGTAGTGTTTAATACTACAAATTTTTTAAAATATCTATTAAATTTTTGTATGAATTGAACTGCTTAAATATTTCATGCAGGAGTACTACCTGGGACCTAATAGAAATTTCTAAACTGTGAGTTTTCCTTATCATCAAACAAAATAAGTATTAAGGTACAGTCTGTTAGCCATTCTGCCCTTGCATGTGTTTCACAAAAAGTGAGAAAAATTATCTTAAAGATGCACCATTGGATAGTGTAATAGTTGATATATTGTGTCAACTGGGTAAGTTCAGAAGTTTAACTAAGTAACTCAAAGGTTCTACACCCTAGGGTGTACAGTACATGCCCTAGGGTGACTGTTTAAGTGCCAGGATGTTGTAATGGTTGATTATTGTGTCAACTTGAGAAGTTTAGAAGTTTAACTAAGTGACTCAGCAGCAGGCCAGGAGCCTCACTTTGTAAACATCCTGAGCCTATGCAAGAGGAGAGCAGGGAGGTGGTGTGAGTGCTTACACACACCGGGGTGGGCTTTCAATATAAGGGAGGAAAAGAGGCTTGTTTCCTTCCTTTTTGTTCTTGGTGCATTTGCTGTTGTCTGCTGCCTTGAAGTGTTGCTCCTGTGCTATGCCACCCTACTTTGGAGCCAGCTGATTATGGTCTGAAATCTCTACGAACTGTGAATTAAATAAACGTTTCCTTCCTTAATTTTGGGTGTCAGAGATTTTGTCCCAGCAATGACAGGAAAGTAAGCAAGACAGCTATTCTCTACTTGTCCCTTCAGAGTTTGTTTGAGATTGCACCTTCTCTTAGATTCTTCTCAAAACTATATCACCTGAGAGTATTATCCACTTTTAACACATATTTTGATTTATCTCCCTCTTTTTTCATTTTTCCATTTCTTTTCTATGCACATGCTATCTTTTTACATTTACAAAACTATAGTTATGCTATAATTTTTATTCCTTTTTCTTCACTTAATACAAGTATTTTCCCAATTCAGTAATTGTTCCTCAAAACAGGACTGTCTTGGTTACTTTTTTCTCGCTGCTGGGACAAAATACCTGACGCCCAAAATTAAGGAAGGAAAGGTTTATTTCGCTTACCGTTCATGGAAGTTTCAGCCATACTTGGCAGATTATAAGGCAGAGTGGCACATGGCAAAGAGCTATAGCTCAGGGCGGCAGAACACAGCTAAGCTGCAAGCACACACCAGGGCGGAATGGGGGAGGAATCGCCTCAAGCACTCTTTTCCTCTCCCTATGCAAACTATCCACCCCAGGACAGGTGCAGCTCTCACACCCATATCAAACTCTAATAGCCTGCCCCATGGCTGCAGGAGGCTTTGGGGGAACACACAGACATAAACCATAACAAGGACTTTAAGTGTTTTTTAATGGCACAATATTCCACGCTATGGAATGTATGTACTATGATCATGAATGCACCAAAATATGACCAATCAACTGTACCTGAACATTTAAATAATCCAGATTTTCTTTTTATACTTATAAGTACCACATTTGGGAAAATTCTTGATATTTGTCTATATCTTCAATTATTTTTTGCACCAGATTCTTAGAAAAATGTACTGGGTAAAAAAATCTGAAATTTAAAAATTCTTCATACACACATTGGTTTTCCAGAAAATACACACTGCATTCCAGAAAAATTATACCAATTTATGAATCTACCATCATTACTGCCATGCTTTTATCATGAATATAATTCTGACCAGAAGCCAAACAGATAATAAGCCTGAGCACCAAAACAAAAACAAAGTATTTCCCCTTTGAAAACATGGAGTTGATTACACACATACAGATCATAACCTGAAAAGTGAAGATTACAGGGGACACCTGAGAACCTGGCTTTGCAACTATCCACTCCAGCCACAATAAGCAAGCCTTACCCCTGAACACAACCACCACTTACCTACGATCTTGTGTACACTGTTCTCATGGCTGGAATATCTCCACTCACCCTATGTACTGATAACTGTACTGCTGCCTTTTCCCTCCAGGAATTTTTCTGTGAGCCCCAGTCTAAACTATTCTTCCATGCTGCTTCAACGATGCCCTCAGTTTACCCTACATTAGAACTCATTTCGTACAGTAAATTGTAATTAATGGTCTTTCTCCTAAACTAGACAGTGAGTTCTACCTGGGAAAAAACTGCTGCTTCATTCCCTGCTGTCCTCAGCACCCAGTAAAGTATGTGGGAAATGGGGAGCACTAAAGAAAAATCTATTGAATGAATTAATCAATCACAAAGCCAAGGGTCTAGAGAAGTTTGTAAAGGGCTAGACAGCAAATACTTAAGGTCATATCATCTCTATCACTACTCAATTCTGCTTTTTTAGTATAAAAACAGCTACAGACAATCACATAAATGAATGGCCATGGCTGTGGTCCAATATAACTTAATGAACAAAAGCAGGTCATGAGCCAGATTTGGTCCATGAGCCACAGTCAGCCAATCCCTAGTTTAGAGAATGGGTCTTTAAATTTTTAAAAGGGAAGAAAACTAAAGGAGATGAAAAGATCACGGAGACTTATTGCTTTAAATCTATGTAAAGTTTAGGCTAAATTTTACCTATACAAGTCAATTATTATCATTTGGTACTTTGAGTTGGTCTATAATACTCAGAATAAGGGGAAGGACAATAGCTAGTATGGCATACTAAGATGGAAGGTCAATACAAGATATTAAGTCTTAGTCACAGACAAAAAAGATCAGCCAGATATGAAAAGAAGCAGAGAACTAGGCATGGTGGTGCATTTCTGTAATCCCAGCTATTCAGGAGGCAGAAGCTAGAGGATCACTTGAGCCTAGGCATTCAAGGCCAGCTTGGGCAATAAAAGAAAAAAGGAATGAAGGGAGGGAGGGAAAGATACAGGACTTGGCAGAAATTATAATCTTGTAGTCATCTATAATTGATTGATTGCTGATAAAGCTCTGTTAGACACACAGACCATCATGAAAATGGACTACAGATATGCACAGTAAATGGGTCAGAATTTCATCACACTTTGAGGTGAATTATGCATCAAAATAACGTATGTGTCTGATTCAGTGACAGAATGGGTAGCTGGGTTCAAAAACCAAGCTTCTCATTGCTGATGTTTTCTTTCTTATCTCTGAGTCCCCATGAAAGCGTTCCCTCTCCTCAAGCTTCCTGACCCCACCATGACCCACTAATGTAAGCTCCTTTAGTTGTGGCAACAGAAGGAGGACTCAAGACTGAGCATGCATGAGTCATGAGAGCCCATCTTCTTGAAATGTATATACTTTGAGAAGTTACTGTATTTCAGAGCCTTACTTTTCATAGTCCCTTCCTCTTCCTCATCTTCTGCATTGATCACCATGGTGCCCAGCTGTGATGGCAAGGTATCGTCATGCTCAATCATAGTATTGGCTCCATCGCTCATGGTGCTGGCTACTCGGACAGTACCCATATCATCACCCACTGCTCGAACCATTGTGCCAGAATCCATTTCATCTTCCTCCTGTAAAAAGACAAAGTCTCAAATCAGAGCCAATTTGATCATAAGACTTTGAATCTTTGAATTACGAATTACTATTCCTGAATTACGGTTATCTGAATTAATATTACTTATCTTGGTTCACACAGTTCTAGATTTGACACCTCTGGTTCTACACTCATACTATATAATTGAAAGTATTCTTATTTAACCAAAGATCACACATTTACCCATGGGAGAGCAGCATATCTAACCCTAAAGGATCCTTTTCTTCCCCTATTCTCATTAGAGTTCTTGCAAGATAGATCTCAGAAGCTGGCCCTTGGGCTCTCAAGCGTGTGAAGAAGACTGTATGGGAAAGGCTATAAGTTAAGTATAGAGCCTAGATTTCCCAAAAGGACTTGGAAAAACCAAGTCTCAGATCTGAGCATTCTTTCTCTCTCAAATAAAAAGTAAAATTGATGTGAAGATATGGAAGGAAAAGAGTAAAATTTAAACGTGTTTTAGGAAGCACCAGGGGAAAACCAAGCAGATTCGGATATTCTCTGGCAAGCCTGGGTCCAGGTCACACAGGAAGAATTTCCCGCTCCAAGCTGATCCAATATCACCTACTCATCTTACCTATCTTAGCAATCATGAAATAACAAGCACTGATGCTGAAGATCACGGCAAAGCCTGCCACTCACTGAGTTTTCTTCATCATCCTGGTCCACTTCCCGCTGCTGGGCTTCCTGTCGCTTCAGTTTCACATCCATGGCTTCATTAATTAAGTCCCGCAGTATTGACACTCCTTTGGCACTCTTGACGAATGGGTGCTTAAATGAGAAAGTGGAAACACTGGAGACGGCTTACATGGAGCCAATATAGTTCCTGGCACACAGTGAGTAGGTAATATTTGCTTAACCAATGAACACCTTTCTGTTTATGCTTTGCACAACAGCTAAATCGCAGTCATTTTATAATGCTGAGCAGAGATACGCACATTCAGATTTTCCCCACTTTTTTCAGCCTGGCTGGGCATGCCTATGCCGTTTCTTCTGTCAAATCTACAGATACTCAACAAAGTGCTACCTCACGTATTAGACAAAGCTTTGTAAACGTGTTGAAAGACTGTTGCTACAGTATTTGGAGAGTACACAAAGCATGGGATAGGAGGCAGGGATGCTAGCAACCCTGTGAAGTATGAAATGGTCCTGAACAACAATGAACTGTGGTGTATTCCATACACTTTTCAAATGTCTTAGAGTACATTTTACACTTTAACGATACTGAACATTTTTTTCAAGAGATATGCAAAATGTCTAGGGATTTGGGGAGGTAATTCTGGAAAGGGGAGCTTAAATAGAATAAAGACATTATTCAGACATCACTGCATAATTTATTCATCCCCCTTACTCTTTCTGTTCTATGTACTATAGCATTTCCAATTACATATTTAGGCAAAAGGGATTTTAGTATGAAAACACAGTTACTAAAACTGATCATAAATACCTAACAGATGTAAACTCAAGTATTATTCAATCAGCAAAGACACCTGAAACACAGGAACACTGATGAATTTCATTAATAAAAATTATTTCAAAGTTTTTTTTTAGACGGGCATGGTGGCGCACACCTGTAATCCCAGCACTCGGGAGGCTGAGCCAGGAGGATCGTTGCGAGTTCGAGACGATCCTCGAAGTTTGTAGCCAGCCTGGGCTACAAAGTGAGCTCAAGGCCAGCCTGAACTGCACTGAGAAACCCTGTCTCAAAAAGAAAAAAAAAAAAAAAAAAGTTTTTTTTTTATATTAATACCATCTTATGTTTGTGTTTATAGCACAAATCTCGCTGTAAAAACTGTGCATGGAAATTCTTCTAGGGGGTTGCCTGTTGTTTTTCAAAAACACTCTGATGCGGTCCTATTTTTCTTTGCAAGCTACTTCTATTTCTTATCACGTGTCAGAGAGCAAGGCCTCCAAGGCTTTCTAAGTACTGCAGAAATTAAAAAGATGCCCCAACATGTGCTGGGATACAGGAGATATTTTTCCATGAACTCTTATTATTATCCCATCTAGGCAGGAAAAGAATTTAGTAATACCATCTGCATGCCAGTAGCTGAAAGCATCCTCTAGTCAGCAGGTGAGCAAAACGGAGGGGTAACAGGGCGATGCATACCTGCAGGAGCTGAGTGGCTGTGGCTCTCTGCTCAGGGCTCTTTACGAGACACTGCTTCACAAAATCCATGAACTGATCTGACCACAGCTCTGGCTTTCGGAATGTGGGAGGAGGGTTTGTCGGAATCATGAAGATTGCCTAGTTAAAAAAATTTTTGGTAAAATAAAGAAAGTGATGCACCAATGAAAATATAACCAAAAATATAATTTCCGTTTGAAGCTTGGTAAAATGAATTCTTTTGTAGCCACTGATAAGCCCATCCAAATTCCACCCAAAGTCTAAACATCTTAATGTATGAATTATGACAGTTAGAGAACTTGATGTATTTCCCTCCTCTTTCCCTCTCTTATGCATAGTATTTTCCCGTAAACCTTGCAATATCAGTGAAGTTTTTTATTTGTATTTTTAATGCTAACTACATTACATGGCCTTTACACCTACAAGCATTACACCTACAAGCACCCATATACTGAAGATAACCTCACTACGGTCTAATTTCCTGCCTCCTTCAAAGTCACCACAACTTGAGATGTCAAAATCACGAGGTAAAATCCAAGCCAAGACATATCAAAATTCTTGGGGAAAAGACTATTAAAAATCACACCACTATATCAGCCAAATTCTACTTCAAAGCCAGCCGTGGTGGCACATGCCTGTAATCCCAGTGCTCAGGAGGCTGAGGCAGGAGAATTGCCCTGAGTTTTAGGCCAACCTAGACTACACAGTGACTCCAGGCCAGCCTGAACTGCATAGCGAGACCCTGTCTCAAAAAAAAAAAAAAAAAAAAACCTACTTCAAAGAGACTTTGAATTCCAAAAGAAGTCAGTTTTTGAAAGATAAAACCCTTTGCAATAAGCACCTTAAATATATCCTTTAAATCTAAAAATATAACCAGTAAACCCTCCATTCTTCCCAACTTTTGTCCCTCACTAAAGAAGGAAGTTTATCTTTGGGCACATGAATACTTTAAAAAACTGTTCAAGTCTTGTAATGGAGGAATGAATTGATTGCAGAGGAGTGGAAATGCTGGTTTGGGGAGGCATGGAGAGGACTGTGGGGCTCCTAAGCCAGGCAAGATTGGGGTCTTGTAACAGTGCTGTTACAGGAGTTCTGGAGGTGGGAAAGGCCTGAGAACAAGGGTATCAACACTGCAGGAGTTTCAGAGGTGATAAAGCCTATGTGACCTTAACAATGAAAAGTAGATGGAGTTTAGAAAGAACAGAGCCTCCAGAATGCACAAATTCTAGTATCCTTAGAGGCCAGATGAGAGAAAAATAACAAATGAATCAGCCTAGGTGTTACTGACATGAGTTCACTTAAAGTATAAGAGAAAACACAAATACAAAACACTATCGTATTACCAAGTATCCGATAATAGGTAATACAATAAGGAAGCATGGGAACTAGGTGGAAATCGCACAAAGGAGACAACCCTACTCCACTCTAGTTAATGCTATCATGTTAGAATGTGAGTGCCTAAAAACTATACATAATTATTTAAGTCAAACAAGAGTTCTGTACCCTATGCCTGCTGGGAGGCTATTAAAATACAACTTCTTGGAATGGAGACAGGTGGGTTGCACTTTCATTAGTAACTATAAGCAGTCAGTGGAACTGTATCATCTACAATGACACTTAACAATTATATACAATTAATTTATTGTTTGGAACTTTACCAAGTATACCACTGAACTAACTTTCTAATGATGATCCATAATTAAGCCCACTGGTTCTCCATCCATTTCCTTACCCTCATTGGATGGATATCAGCATATGGGGGCTTTCCTTCAGCCATTTCTATGGCAGTTATTCCCAGAGACCAGATGTCTGCCACACAGTTGTACCCAATTTCCTGAATCACTTCTGGAGCCATCCAAAACGGTGTTCCTATCACTGTATTCCTCTTGGCCATGGTATCCTAAAATAGAAAGAGGACAGGCTAATACTAAGCATTATAACTACTCACAAAAAGAGATTTTTCCAACAATAAAAAGGCCTGGTACTTAAAATCTGTATAAAAACCATGACTATGAATTCACACGAGAAATTCAAACGACCATGAAACAAATAGATTCTTAATTGTTAAATATAAAATAAGATAAAATTTTAAATTAATAACTAGCACTAATAACAGCATACAAGTTGGGTGTGGTGATGCACATATTGTAATCCTAGCACTCAGGAGGCTGAGGCAAGAAGATTACTGCAAGTTTGAGGTCAGACTGAGCTACATAATGAGTTCAAGGCCAACCTGAACTACATAGCAAGACTCTTCCTCTAAATAAACAAGTAAATAAATAAATAAATAAATAAAAGCATATAAAACTAGAAAGTGAAATATAATGTCAATGGCATATAAATTTTGGTATTCTAGTTTGGTACGCACATTGCCAATATTCATTAAACCTTTAAATAACCATATCCTATGGACTTTTACTTTCCGTCCTATATATGTACTTCTATAACATTCTGGTGACATGTATTACATGTGCAGTCAGGAAACATTTCAAGTTTATATATATATAGACAGGTATGGTGGGGTACAGGTCTGTAATGCAAGCACTCAGAAGACTGAGGCAGGAGAATTGCAAGTTCAAAGCCAGCTTGGGCTACACAGGAAATGCAAAGCAAGCCTGGACTATAGTGAGAGCCTGTCTCAAAAAAATTACATATAAAAAATGATATATAAAAAAGTTTTAGTGTGTGGCGGAAAAACATATGGACATAGTACACATCACAGCAAATAACCACTTGCACATTTTTCGAGAATGGCACAGCCCTACTGAAAGAGAACCTTCTTACAGTCCCTGTACTTTAAAAGGAGAAGGATGTTTAAACAGAACTAAAATGAAAAAGCACTTTCCATCATCATCACCCATGTCTGTTCCTTCTGAAATGCCGTGGTTTAATTAGTTTATGCTAGTCAGAAGTAAATGACATGTAACATTTCTGAACTGACCTCTTCATCACTCCTACATGAAAAACTAACATAGGAAATAACTTATTGCTTAGTCATTTCCTCAGTTTTGAAACTTCAAATTTGCCAGGGTGTTTCCATATGATGGCAGTCAATGTAGTTTTCACTAGATTATTTCAATTAGAAATAGATACATACTTGGATAGCTACACATTTTCTGAGACTTAAATGAACGGATGCTAATCTCACCTAGATTTGTATGTATTAGAGTAATAGCAGAGCTACAGAAAAATAGCCCAGAACAGACTGTGGCACATGTACAAACACACATAATGTAATGGACATTCTTGATTTTAGTATTATGCTTTTATATAGCATCACAAGGCTACATGTTTAAATTTTATATCCTTAAGACTATAGTTTATGTAATACTGTCTGATATGGTTTACTTATTAACAATATGTGAAGAGTGCACAAATCATAAAACTGAGTAAGCTTCTACTTTTTTAAAGGATATTAAAGCAATTCTTGAGCTGTTGTAGTATCTATAAGACTCCCTAACATATCCTAGACAGATTTTAAATTAAAAATTAAAAAACTGAGCCAGGCATGGTGGTGCAGACCTATAATCCCAGCACTTGGGAGACTGAGGCAGGAGAATCGCCATGAGTTCAAGGATAGCCTAGGCTACATAAGTGAGTTCAAGGCCAGCCTAAATGACATAGTTGAGATCCTGTCTCAAACAAAAAAAAATTAATTTTAAAAAATAAAAACTGTACATAATACCAATCACTTGATATATAATATGGTTGTAAATTTTAGTGTATACCTGTCCACAACTATTTCTATTTTTTGATATATACTTTCACTCATTCTTGGGTATTTTACAAAATCAAATAAATTCTAGACTTCCCTCAGTGGCACAGCACCTGCCTGGCACAAGGTCCTGAGTTCAATTCCCAGTGCCAAAAAAATTAAAAATAATTCTAGACTTCCTGTTTTGAAATTTTGTTTTTCTTTTTTCTCTGCCATGCACTAGTTAGGAGGAGAATCAAAAGATGATGCTAAAATCAAGTGAGTGTCTTCAGTACAGTAATTATTTGATACGACTCGGAAGCTGAATGAGATGTTACTATGCCTTATTTAAGGAAAGCAGCACAGGGGGCTGGGGGATGTAGCTCAGTGGCATAAGCGCTTGTCTGGCAAACCTGAGGTCATGAGTTCGATTCCGGTACCAAAAAAAAAAAAAAGAAAAGCATGGATTTAAGTTTTCTTCCATTTACAAATATGCTTATGTAGTTCAATAGAATTTAAACTAATATTCAATCATTTCTTTTTTTAGTTTTCATTTTTACAAAAATTTAAAACAAAGTTAAAGAATGTGATCTGAACCATAAAAAGGATGTGAAATAACCTATTAGCTTTCTTGTAACCTATTGGTAGATTCTACAATTTTTTACTAACACAAGTCAGTTATTATATTTTAAAGATAAGTAGAAGGAATTGATCCCTCAGGACAAAGCTGAAAGTATCAATACAAATTCCATATTTACTTACTGTAAGTTGACCTGCTACTCCAAAATCTGCAAGTTTTGCATGTCCTTCTGTATTTAGCAAAATGTTTCCTGCCTTGATATCTCGGTGTATTTTTCTCATAAAATGAAGATATTCCAGTCCTTTGAGAGTTGACTGTAATATTGTAGCTATCTCATCTTCTGTTAACTGAAAACAGAATGAGAAGCTCACATCCTATGTTTACATCACATATTTGAAAAAGAAAAGTTAGATTCAAATTATAAACATAGATCTTATTCAACATGTGGGCAGCATTTGACTGCTTATAATACCATTTATATGCTAACCACTCCCCAAGTGATATTTCCAGACCAGATATCTCCCCATGCATCAGATCTGCCTACATCATCTCTGAGCATCCTGGCAAGCATCCTAAGCAGAACATGTCAAACCCAACTCATTCTATCCCTTCTGTCACCCTCCTACTCACCCAACTCACCCTGTTCCCTTATCTCACTTTGTCAGTGCAGTACAACATTGTCTGACATACACTATTTACATACTTATTAGTATGATGTCTTCCCTATTAGAAACATAAGCTCAGTACTACTCAGTCATAAAGGGTAAACTAGAGACTTTTATAGAAAAATGAATGCAGCTTGAGATCATACTCGTAAGTGAAATAAACCACACATACACATAATACCAATCACTTGATATATTATTATATACACCAGTACATGTATTATTTTATTTATTATTATTTTATTATTAACAACACCAGTACATGTGTAAACACTGTATTATCTCCCTAGTGTGAGAAGCTGAAAACATAAGTAAGATCCAAACTGTACAACAGATATTGTGAAATGGGAAGAAACTTCAAAAGGAAAGAGAGGGCCAGGTATATAGCTTAGTGGCACAAGCACGTGCCTGGCAAGTGCAAGGTCCTGAGTTGAATTCCTGGCACCAAAAAAAAAGCAACCTAAAAGGAAAGAGAAACTGGGATAGGGGAATGGAGAAAAGAAGGAAGGAAAAAGAAAAAGAAAAAGATATATATACATTATAAATATTTATATATATGATAGTTACACTATTAATTTCTCTTAGTTAATTGAAAATAAAGGTTTGTGCTAATATTATTTGGACAATTAAATGCTAATATCTTATAGTCTGAGTAACTAATTTAAAGATAACAATACACAATGTATTAACCATTGTTATCCTATTATCTTGTTTTGAAATTTTACTTTTTTCTCTTTAAAATAAAAAAGAAACAAGCTTCATTTAAAACGTTTTTGATTTGTTTACTTTGGTACTCCCTTTTTTTCAAATCATTTTCTCTATTAGTACATATTTGTAGTACATAATGATTACATTCCTTGTGAGGGGCTGGGATATGCACATGATACATCTCAATTCCTTTTTTTTATCCTCTTTCCCTCACCTATTTTTATATTCCTAATACCAAGAAAGAGATCCTCCCAGTAATGGGCAGTGAAAAGAATAAATGTTGAATGAACATTAGCTAACATAGCTAAACGTAACTGAAAATACCAGAGAATAGTATAGATTATCTGATCAGACCAATGTTAATTTTGTGGAGTTTTAATCCAAGTCCTAAATAAACTCAGTCTATTAACAAGCTCTTACATGGTTCCCCATGTGAGACAAACAACTCACATTTTTTTCACATTTCTCTCCTCTTTTAAAATCAGATTTTATTGGTACATTTTGGATATACATAGTGATACAACTCACATTTAGAAGAAAGTGTACATGGCAGAAAAAGTATAGGATTTCGGATTTGAAATTCTACCCTTTACTCCTGACTCTACTTTGTAGCTGTCTCAAGCAGGTTACTGAACTTCTCTTAACTTTAATTTCTCAATATACAAAATAGGAATATCATCTTTAAGATTACACAAAAAACCATGCAATATGCTTGCCTAGCACACCCAGGTCCTGGGCTTAATCCTCAGCAACAGCAGCAACAAGAGATCAAGTTACAGAAGGCTTGCCTGGGGTGGTAGTCCACATTTGTAATCTCAGTACTTCAGAGGCTGAGGCAGGAGGATCACTGGGAGTTTGAGGACAGCCTGGGCTACAAAGTGAGTTCAAGGCCACCCTGAACTACATAGTGAGACCTTGTCTCAAAAAGACAATAAAAACCGTCAAAATACAAAAAAAAGTTACAAAAGGTTTAATGGTTTAATACACGCTTTAGTTAACAATGGTTTAATATCTACCACATAATCAACAAAAATTTAATGAGTACCTATTATATGCCAGGAACTATGCTAATAATGTTAAAATAAGTAATCATTTCTAAATGTTTATTATTTTTGTAATCTTATATAATCCTTATAAGACTACTAACTGAGGTATAAGTACTATTATTATCATCACCATTTTATAAATTATGAAGCTGAGGAGCTGGGCACAATGGCACACACCTGTAATCCCAGCATTTAGGAAAACTAAGGCAGGAAGATTGCTGTGAGTCTGAGGCCAGCCTGGACTACATAATGAATTCAAGACCAGTCTGGGCTATCTAGTGAAACCCTATCTCAAAAAACTAAAATAATAATAATAATGAAGCTGAAGCACAGAAAGTTAGTTTGTGACAAAGGTCATAGAGATTATAAATGGTAAGTTTTTAAAAACACAAACGAACACTATTGGCAAAGTAACAGGCTAGAGTTTAGATAACTTCTGTGGTCAAAAGAAACAAAGCTCATACTTTGTCTGACTGTTTTAGTCAGCAGAGCTATTCAGTTACCAAAGTGCTGCCCTACAGAAATACAACAGAGGCAACAAATATAATTAAGTTCCCAGTAGCCACTTTTTTCAAAAGAAATATTAATTTTCATACTATTTTACTTAATTATATTTATCCAAAATATTAGTCTACCATGCGATCAATATAAAAAAATATTTTTTTACTTTTTATTAGTAATAATTTTTCATCTCTAGTGCATGTTTCATACTTACAGCACATTTCAATTAAGACCAGTCATTTTTCAGGTCCTCAATAACCACACGTGGCTAATGGATGAAAGTGTAGAACTATAACATTTGGCAAAAGAATGGATAATAATTAAAAATCCTCACTTAGTAGTTAAAATTACATAAAAACAATAAACTAATACTGTTATCAATAAATACCAAAATCACCATCAAAATTAATTTCAGATTGTTTTAAAATACCTGAAACAAAACAACTCAATGCTTCATTTAAGAAGCCCTGGAATCCAAATTTCAAATTAATAGATTATTAATTCTTTAAATATATCTTAGGTTAGGATGTTATTCCTGGCTCAAGAACTTGCTATTTGATTAAGAAAACACACTAACTCTGAATTATATAAATTAAGAAAATAATGGTATGGGTAAGCCAAAATGTATGACTGAATTTCAAAGCAGCCCTGTTATGGCTTATGGCTAGATATCTCCCCAAAGCCTCAGGCAGTCATAGGTAGAAGTTTTTCAGAGGTGGCTAGATTTAGAGTATGTGACCCTGGGATTGATTCATGGTGCAATGCTAGGGTCAAGGGCACTAGGGTTAAGGGTGTGAGTACTACCTGCCCTAAGTAGCCTGAATAAGATATAAGGGATTGAAAGAGCTGGGGTCCTCCCTTGCTTGTTTTGCTACCTTCTGCCCACCATAAACTGTTTCTCCTCGGCAATCCCTGTCTGCCATAGCACCCTGCCTTGGAACAGGTGGTTATGGACTGAAATCTCTACATACTGTGAGCTAAATAAACCTTTCCTCCTTTAACTTGTGGGTGTTGGGTAAAAAAATGAGAAAAATGTAATTAACACAAGCCCTCACTTTATAATGTATATAGTACCTTGTAATTTATAACATATACTTAAAATTTTACAACTTTGTAAATACTTAATATGGGTGGCTGTTATTACTTTTTTTTCTTTTTTATTCTTATTTTTCTTAAAAACAAGAAAAACCCCCAAAGGCTAAAACTTCTCCTTTTACTCACTCAAAACCTATACAGTTACATAGCTTTTTAAAAAACATAAACCAGATGGATGGCTCACTCACTTGCTTACACCCCAGCAACAGTTTCCAATTGTACTCCAAATAAAATCCAAATTCATTATCATGACCTTTAGTATCCAATACAATCAAGCCGTACTGACCTATCTAGCCTCACCTCCTCCAGTTCCCCTTCACTCCTTCTCCTCTAGTCTCAGTGACCTTTGTTCAAATGCAAATTATTTCTAGCCGTAGGGTCTTTGTATTGGTTATTCCTACCTAGAATGTTTCCTCAAGACTTAGCTCCTTCTTGTCATTCAAGTCTTACTTTAAAAGTAACTCTTTGGGGGCTGAGGATTTAGCTCAGTGGCACAGCACCTGCCTGGCAAGCGCGAGGTCGTGAGTTTGGTTCCCAGTAACGGAAAACAAACAAAAAAAAGTACCAACTACCCACTGCTCTACTGCAGGCCACCAAGCACTCTCTATCACTTTACCATCACTTCATTCTCATTCATTTTCTTCATAGTGCTTATCACTATCTGGTATTTCTTTTCTATTTACCATTTTCTTTTTGTTGTCCAGAAAGTGTTTGCCAGAAAGTGTGCTACTGCTTGAGACATTTACACCCTGAGACCATATATACTCAAGTGAAATAAATCAGACACACACGTTTAAATACAGCATTGTTTCTCTGGTGTGAGAAACCAAAAGTGTAAATAAGGACCAAAATGTGTAATAGACATTGGGAAATGGGAAGAAAATGTCCAAATGGGAAGGGGAACAAGGGAGGATGAGGGGAAAGGAAGGAAGGGACAAGAAAAAAAGAGAATAGAAGGAAGAAATGGAAATAAAACTTTTGTGAATAAAGAGGGGAAGAGGGGTTGATGGAGGAGAGGGGAATGGGAAAAAAAGAAGCAAGATATATCACGTACAGTTACAAATCCCCTATGATAAATGCGATCGTTATACATATCTAAAATGTATGAATAATTTTTTTAAAAAAACTGTGCTACTATGAGAGCAGGGTTGTTGTCTTATCTTATTTGCTATGGGGCCCCTAAGGCCTAAAGCAGTGTTCCACAAATATTTACAGAATGAACAAACAGGTTAAGCAGTTGAAACGGAACCAGAATCCATGACTCTTAGTTCTTATTCCAGCAATCACAGTTATAGCAAATAATCTTTCACAATGGGGTTAACAGGAAGTAGAGGTAGAGAAAATTAATCTGTAAACATGCTAGGTGAGAGGAGAAATTCAAATCTAAAATTAAACATTTAAAATTCATTCCATAATCAAGATTTGACAGCCATTTTCCCCCACCAAGAAATAGACAAAGCATGATAAAAATCACCAGATTGAGTTACTGTCAGAACTATCACATTTAGGAGATAAAAGAGTAAAGTGGGAGAAAGAACCATGAGAAAAAAAAAATTGACTATCATCTTTCTAGATATGATAGTAGAAGAAATACATGAATAAAAGGCCAGAGAAAAGAAAATAGCTTAAGACCAATGGCTCAGCAGCATTATTTTAGAAAGTAAACTTACCGTTTTATTTCGTAATCGAATGATATCAGACACAGAACCGGCCCCACAGTACTCCATCACAATCCACAAGTCTGTGTTCTTAAAGTAACTGCCATAGTACTTCACTACATGAGGGCTGGGGAGAGATGGAATACAAATAAACGCAACGGCCTTCACACATCTCTAATTCATTCTGTTCAATATTTGAAAAGCAATTTCTCATCTCAAAAGATCAACTATTCCTAGGTAAGGATTAAATGAGCAGTTTTCTAAGAATGTAAAATGGGATTGCTTTTCTAAAGATAAATAAATAATAGAAGTACAAAAAATGTGTGGGTACCTTAGCCAACATTTCTAAGTCTGCAATTAGAAAAGAATTACAAATATTCAAAAATAGCAACATAGACTGAACTGTTAATAAAAGTGAACATTTAAATCTCCACCCAACATTAGAGAATTTAAGAAATAATGATCATCATATATGAACATCATAAATACATGAAAAATGTTTATATGTTTATCTTCTCATGTTGCTAACATGAGAAGATAACCTGTTTACCAAAAAAAAAGAAAAAGAAAAAGAAAAAAAAGGACTGGCTACAAAATAGTAAGCATAGAAGTAAAACTCCAAAAAGAGACATGGAAGAATACGGACATCGAAGAGTATTTAATGATGATTTCTCAAAAGGGAAAAGTGATTTTATTTCCTTCTTTTCATTTGCATTTTTCTGACAAGTCATATGTACTTTATGATAACAAATCATATTATAAATCTAAAAAACATAAAGAAAAAATATGCAGGATCAAATCTGGAATTTTAGGTCTCAGGCTTGAAGATACAGAATCAGAAATTTCAGAGAGAATTAACTTAATCTGGTCAATCCAATCAAGAAAAATGGGGGCTTAATCTAGTAGACAATGAACACAAAAATAGAAAAAAAGAAAGAGGGAAAAGAGAAGAGAACTGGCTGTATTTCAAGTCTGTAAGACTTAAAAGTTCCTAGGCCAATGTCCTGGAAGGCAGCCCCACCTCTGCTCCTTGTTGAAGTTTTACAAAAGAAGCACTCAGCTGATCTGCCCCCAAAAATTTCACAAAATGAATGCAGCCTCAAGTGCAAAACATTTTCACCCCCTCTCCAACTTCTTAAAGTTGGCATCATCCTTCACTGTATGTTTCTTTCAAATCTAAATAGTGCTGAGGAAGTCTGCTCCATCACAATAACCAACGCATGTTGTCACAGAATGTGAGAGCAAACCACGTGCTTTTCTGTGGTTGCTTCTAACCCGACTTCCTGCTTACTACATTTGACAAATCTTAGTTCCTCAAAAATAAAATACTTCACTATTCTCAGCTCAAATAACTTTTTTAATATGAAGGAATAATAATATATAAGTTAAGTATTCTCTTTTTACAGACCAATCTAATATTCTAAACTTTCTAGAACTAAAAAGCATTTGAATTATCTTAGCTAAACTGTCTCTACGGAAATGTTCTCTCTTTAAGAAGAGAGATCATTATCAAAAAAGAAAAAAACTTAGCACCACCTTCTGCCTCTTCTTCCTACTTTCTAAAAGGACTTAGTGAAGAAGGAAAAAAAAATGCAAAAATAAAAACTAGCAAAGTTTAGCTACAAAAACATAAAACTTTTCATCATTTGTTTCTGAAAAGCACACATATTATAATTCCTATGACCTCTCCTTTCTGCAAAATAAGTGAATGAATCTCTAGGTGTCAAACTCTAAATAAGCACAGCAAATCCAAACCCATGGCCTCTCCAAAAGAACCCCATGTGCCTTTTACCTGTCACACTGCTGCATTATAGAAATTTCCTTGATTATTTCCTGCAGATCTGATTCCACGGGAACTTGCTTAATAGCAACAATCTGACCAGTCTCCTTATGAATAGCTTTGTACACACTGCCATAGGACCTACAATTGGGGGAAGGAGAGCGTTTAGAAAATCAAAGCAGGCCACCAGATAAGAAGTGGTACAATACAAAGAACTCACAGTTCCCATTTGTATTCCTAAATACTTTTATCCCTAAGTACTGTCCCTAAGTATGTATGTATGTACATACACTTAGCTACACTTGCAAAACAGAGATATATTTTGGGAGAAAAATGATACCTCAAAAACTTTGTACCTAAACTTATGAATGAATTACTGTGAACTAATAGTTATAACAACTTCTGTGTACTGTATGTCTGATGTCTGCTAGAAAGTATGCATTCCTCAGTTCAACCTTACAAAAATAAGAGATGATTACGCCTATTTTGTAAGTAAACGTACAAACGTTCAGAGGAGTTACACAATATTCTCAGTGTCACATAAATGATGAGTAGTGTTCAGTTCAGGAACTCAGGTTGTCTGAATACAAAAAATGCTTATTTTCACTCCACATCTACATTAAGGTACAATATAGAAATGCTTGTTTCCCACATTCATTTGATTGTCTTTGTTCCTCTTACTTGCAATAATGCTTAAATTATAGAAAGTAATTAAAATCTAAGCCTCTATAATGCTAGTATCAGATAAACTGTGCAAATATATATACTTTTGCTTTCTATTCCATTTTCCTTTAAGAATTTATTATTAAAATAAATTAAAAAGTGTATGAATTCAACTTGGGGGCTGTAAGAACATTAGATTTAGATTCTCAACACCTAAGATTACCTTCTTCAATCACTACATATTACTACTTACAAACACATTATTAGCTTTGTTATGCCTTCATTTCCTCAACTGTGAAGTAACAATACAAACTACTTTATGAGAGAGTTGTGTCATGAGATATATCATCCTACACAGATTTGTCATTAGAATCCTGAGAAGCTCTGCATAAAATAATGTGGAAACTGCCTTCTAGGCTTCCCTAACACACCTATATTTTATACTGCTTTGGTGAAAAAAATCAAAATAACAGTGCCACCTAGTACTTCAAACTAGCAAAACACACTAGCTTCCCCAAAGATGCTTGAGAATTATTTCAATGTGAGAATAACATCACATTTTTTTTTTGCCTTTTTAAGACAGGGTCTCGCTATACGGTTCAGGCTGGCCTTGAGCTCACTTTGCAGCCCAGGATGGCCTGGAACTCGCGATGATCCTCCTGCCTCAGCCTCCCGAGCGCTGGGATTACAGGCGTGCGCCACCACGCCCTGCTAACATCACATTTTTAAAAATCCATGCACAGCACTTAAAAAGAAAATCAGAATTCCTGTATTTGCAAAACTGGTATAATGATGCTTAAATACAACATCAAATGCTTTTTTGTCACAGGAAGACAACTATTGACCACATGTAGAAGATCCAACCTCTAACCATCTTCCTTGCTAATAATAACCCTGGTTTATTAGGACAGCAATGTGCTTGGTCCTAAGAGAGAAATCATAGCAGGCCAACACAGTCATTGTATTCCTTGTCCCTTTTGCCACTGACTGAACTAGTAGCAAGTATACGACCTACTTCTGGCCAATAATACTTGATGAGAATTCTGCTGAAGGATTTCTGGGAAAGATTTTTCTCTTCTGGCAACAGACAAGCATGTAAGACTCATTTCCACCTCCCTTCTTGTTTTGGTTGCTGTTGTGTGAGAAATGAACACTTAAAACTAATGCAACCATCTTGAGATTATAACAACTGCCAAAACATCAAACCACTATCCAGTCAATTATCCCCTTCTGGGATCTCCTACCCCAAAATTTATTATTTAGTTATTAAATGCCTTTATAGGTTAGCCACTATTAGTTAAATACCCTTACTTCTACCCAAAGGTGTTCTTGATACACCAGATCCTACATATCTGAAAATGTCTTTATTTCATCTTCACTCCAAAATGACAGTTTTGCTGGACATAGAATTCTCCTTTGACAGAAGGAGATATATCCTTCTATATATATCCTTTATATATATAAAATAATATAAAGGATATATATCCCTCAGCACTCTTACTGCAGTTATCCAGAATCTGTTGTTGCTGAGAAGCCTGCTTTCATCAGATTACCATTCTCCATTAGGAATCTTCCCACAGCTTTTATTTATTTATTTTTTTGTTTGTTTGTTTTGTTTTGTTTTTCTCCGGTACCGGGAACCGAACTCACGACCTTGCGCTTGCCAGGCAGGCGCTTTTGCCGCTGAGCTAAATCCCCAGCCCCTTCCCACAGCTTTTAAGACGCCTTCTTTCTCCTTAATTTTCACTCTAAATTCTGCTTTACCAATGAGCTGATGTATGTGGCACTGCATAAGCTTCTTCAATCAGGGAATTCATATCTTTCAAGTATGAAAATTTCTCAACATTTTCTCTTATTTCTTCTCTTTTAGAATTCCTATTGAAACTATACTGTACCTCTTTAATCTGTGTTGGTTTCCAACACTATTTCTGCTTCACATTTTGTGATCAGTGTCATTTGTAATTAATCTCATTTCTCTCAATTAACAAATTCTCTATGTCTTGTCTACTTTGTTATTTATTCCAGTCATTGGGTTTTTAAAACTTCAGTTATTATAGTCTGGTGTTCTTTTTTCAAGGATATTATTCCCTCCTTTTAGCTTTCTGAAAATTGCAAATGTATTTCTTTCCATGCAGACATGGTGGCATGTGCCTACAGTCCCAGATACTTGGCAGAATAAGACACTTCAGCCCAGAAGTTCCAGACCAGCCTGCACAACACAATGAGGCTCCATCTTAAAAAGGAAAGAAAAGAGAGGAAAGGGAGAAGGGATGGGGGAAGAGGGGCAGAGGAATGGAGAAAGAGAGATCTAGATCTCTTGTCAGATTGCTCCATTATTTCTGTATCCTTGAGTATGAATTCTCCAACTTGTTAGTAATGATTATCTCACAGTAGTGGATTTCTTTGAATGCATTTCCTTTTATTACAAATTATTTTCTACCACATAATGCTCAATGAGATGGTTTCATGGTTCTCTCAGTCCTCTCACCTGGAGTATAAAATTTAAAACAAGTCCTTGGGAGCCTTGCCATTCAAGATCTCGAACCTGAACGTAGTGCAGGCCCAGTTCCTATAGTTAGACCAGTACTGTATCTCTGCTTTTTCCCTAGGCTAAAAGCAAGTAAGGCAAGTTTATTTCACCTTTAGTTCACATATGGGGAACCTAGGCTCAGTGCAAGACTTCATGTAAGAAGCCCAACTACAATCTCCTGAGAAGGATAAGGCATCCTTTTGTCTATTCTTCTTATGATAGATCTTTTTTCTACCCCAGTGCTTAGCTGCCTATATATCCTTATTATAAAGGATATATTTATTCCAATATTCTTCATAATAAAAATGAAATATTTAAGAGAACTGATATTCACTAAGGCCAGGCCTCATTAAGAGGACTTATTTTCATTAACAGTGGACTTAACCTTGAGATATTTATGCCTCAGCCTCCACAGAAGTTGAGATTACAAGCTTGTTCCAATATCCCTGGCTTATTCATTATTCTTATGTGTAAGAAATTGAAACAAGCAAGCTCTGCATGTACTCACTCAGCAGTCATTACCACAGCAATCTCCAAACCTCCTTATGCTATATAAAATATATTTTAAAAAACTCCAACAGTTCATATGAACAACTGAGATTTAAGATTCCATATGCTGTATTTATAGCAATCTGATGAAGAGTTAGAAGACTTCAACAATCATCCTCACGTACAGGCAAGACCATAACACCTAATTTCCTACAACAACAAACCCTAAATGACTGAATGAATTTTAACTGCCAAAGAAAAAAGACGGTGAAGTAAGTATTTCACATAAGCAATACATGGCAAGGATCAATGTAGAAAAATGGAAATAACAGAATACCTGAGGCCATTGTAATCAAGTACAAGTCTTACTGCCAATATCACTCACTATCCAGATGCTTTTTTATTATCCTATAATAAAAATTCAAATAAGTCAATGTACAAAACTTTTAAGCATACGAGAAGGAAAAAGGTGGTAGGCTCCAATTTCAAACACTTTCTACTCATCTTGGTCTGGCACTCTGGCTGTTCTCTGCCACAGGGCCACACAATTTTCTCAAAATGCAGCATGGCTGCAGCTTCCAGAATCCAATACAGCTCTTTAGCAACAGCACACTTCACAAGACACAGGTCGGTAAAAGTTCACAATCCATTCACTCTCCAGAAAAATTTGAGGATGGCATGACATTATGTATGCAGAAAAGTAAACCACTTTTGCTTCAAGATCTTGCTAGTCCAGTGACATTTCCTCAGGTTTGTTAAGTCTGAGTGACAGAAATCCAAATATATTTATGGCATATTTTTAAAAACCTATAAGGTGATAGCATGGGGGAAAAGAAAGATCTGAAGCTTTACTCGTTTTCTCCTTGGTGACAACAAGTTCAAGGGAAATTCCCAAGTTCCTTGCCGAAGACATCCATAGATCGAAAACATGACTTTTAAAATCATAATTAGCTTAGTTTTTCCTTTCAGTATACTCCTGACATACTCTGTCTATAGAGTCCCCAAATCCAATTAATCTACAGTCAGCAGTAAGAATACCTAATACACTTTAAACACATAAGATTTAACTTTGATTTGGCATGAACTCTGAAAAATGACTTAGTTGATATTAAAAAGTAATTATGACTTATTGAGCACTTACTATGACAGGCACTATACTTAGTTCTTTACTCCTAATATTTCATGTAATACTTGCCATAATCCTATGAAGTAGATACTATTATTATTATACTATTATTGAATAAGATTGTGAAGTTCCACAATAATAAGCTCAAGCTCACTTGTTTATTATGACTAATAGTAGACCAAGGATTTAACCCAGATCTTTGTGACTTCACAGTATATACAGTGACTTCTACAACCTATCTTTATTAAAAAATTTTTAAGTTAGTTATATAAACAGTTATGCCCACCAGTCCTTATCTTATTCCAACTGTAACTTAAAAACACTGTTACATTAAGGACCATGGGCTCAATACCTTGAGGAAAATACCAAAGCTGACAAGCTAAAACTTAAAATGGCAAGCCAGATATGTAGAGGGACTGTCACTTCCCCATACCTTTAATACCAGTCAGCTGGCAATCTTTAGAGTCACTTTAGACTTGTCTTTTGGTAGCACAGCTGCTGTCATCTTTTATTTCTCTTCCCTGCTTGATTTCTTGCTGGATTTCAAAGAGTAGTTTTCCAACTTATAAAAAGTCAAAGCCTAATGTTTTTTAACAAGGAAGTAATCCATGAAAAACTATTCTATGTAATCCAGAATTGGATTTAACATTATAGATCTATGTTTGGCATAACACTAACCTCCAAAAAAATGTAACAAGAGCTGTTACTGTTACAGTTTGGATCTAGAATATTCCCCAAAGGCTCATGTTCTGAAGGTTTGGTCCCAGCTGGTAGTACTTATTAGGAGGCAGTGGAAACTTTTAGGACCTATTTGGAAGAGGTGGGTCACTGAAGGTTTACCTTTCAAGGGTATGTCTTTCCTCACTTTCTTTGCTTCTTGGCTAACATGAATGTCCTACGTGTTACCGCCACCATAATATCCTGCCTTATCTCAGGCCTACAGCAGTGGTGCCAGCCAACCATGGACAGAAACCTCTGAAACCATGAACCAAAATAAATCTTTCTTCCTTTAAATTGTTTTTCTCAGGTATTTTGTCACAGCAACAAAAAGCTTATTCATAAAATAGTTGATGATTTTAAAGAACACAGAGTCACTAGAACACATTTTTAAACATTAATATGTCAAGACATCTCTTTAGCAGTATTCCTAAGGGATTAAAAATTCATACATACGTATGCACTTGCATACGTACGCATGAATCATCTCTGAAAGATACATTAGAAACTGACACAGTAGTGATTCTGGATGGCTGAGAGATATAGGCAGAGGGTAGATATTTTTTACTATATATATACATTTTTACTTTTTTAATTGTGAATCATATAAATTATTACCTACTCGAAAGTTAACAAACTCTTAAGAAAAGGTGCTCCTAACATTTTAATGTCCTGGTCATTACAGAAAAAATAAATACAAAATTAAATTAATACTGAAGCCTGTTGTTTTTTACTGAAACAAGTTAATACACACTGATCAGAAACCATGAACAGCAAATAAAAGTACTTATGTCTGATCTAATTAGTGCTATTTGTTAGCCACGTAAAATCATAGAAACCACAGATTCTGCAAGAGGGAAAACAATAGATGTCCTTGATAAAAACTGAGAATCATTAAATCTCTCCAAAATACTGATGAGGGGGAAGTGAGGAACGACACCTCAGGCAGTAAATTGACCACCTATCCTCCCCTAGTACCGTGCTGATAGGCCACATTCTTTTTTCTTCTCCTCAGGTTTGTGAACTGTCATCACCACAAAAAGGTAAACATTCATCAGGTGACGAACAGGAAAAAAACTGGTCTGCATGCATGTTCTCTTCACTCACCCTTCTCCAAGTTTCTCTAAGACATCAAACACTTCTTCTGGTTGTTTGGTTAAACTATCTTCATCCAACTTTTTCAGTTGTCTGTGAGTAAAGAAATGACACAAAAAGCATTTTACACGCTAGTAACTAAAACATAAAACATATCATTTATTTTACAATTAGCTTCCTAGGAAATGCTCTATAAAGTTTTCACTAATAAACAACTACAAAGTCAAGCTAAGACACTTTTACGGGACACTGAGGACTTGGTTTGGAGTCAGTCACCTGATGAAGAAAATCAGGACCAAGAAGTAAGAGCTGCCATGAGTCAAATTTCAACTCAACACATCTAAGAATTTTCTAACAGTAGAAGTTGTTTTAGATAGTCATAAGAGGCCTCCGGGTCTCCGTTATTGGAAAATTTAAACAAAAAATGAATTATCATCTGGCTAAGTGATGTAGAGTAGACTTAAGCATTAGATAAATCCTTTAGAATCCATTTAAATCTTTAGAAAAAAAATACATCTTCAGATTATACAAATTAAAATGATATAACAATCTCTTTAGAAAAGATATTGTTTAATGTAAAATTGACTATATATTGAATCATGAATTAGACTAGTGGTCAGGGAAGACAAGGAGCTCTTTCCCCTCTATTTAGAAAGGTTTTGGTAATTTTGTCAAAACATGCATTCTATAGGTATTACAGAAACACAAAAAGTGGAAAGTATTCATTTAGATATGAGTAAAAGTGAAAATAATTTGGCAGTTGGGAGTTTCAGTCTCACAAAGACTTTGTCATGTACAGCTGTGTATCTTTAACTTGTCCCAAAAACCAAAGGTATATGACTGCTCACAACTTCCAGGCAGTTCAGATTTTACTGGCTATGCTAGATAATCATAACAAGCATGGGAGATTATAAATTAACAATTAAAAAAAAATTCTGAAACCTTTGAAAATTATTAACAGGCTTAAAAAGAGCTTGCTGAGAAATTTGTGAGTGTGTGTGTGTGTGTGTGTGTGTGTGTGTGCATCATCTACACAATGGCTTCCTGAAACTACAAAGGACAACAAAAAAAGAGAACTCAGGAAATGGTGATATATGGAAGTAGTCACCCTGGAGATTTGTAAAGAAAATGGCTTAAACTAACTAGACAGTATCAATTCTTCCAAGACCTGAATTTAAAAATATATACACACTTCCTAAAGAAAGTAGCAAAATCAGAAGACAAAAACAAAAACAAACAAAAAAGAGAGAGAGAGAAACCTGGCCACATCAAGCATATCTACCAATAAACACTGACCTCATAAAGAGTGGTATTATAAAATTTTACAAATATCAAGGGCTATGTCCTAGAGAAATGGAGAACTGCTAAAAGGCAATGTCTCAATATGCCCTAATTTGAAGATCAACGAAACACAGTAACCACACTGACCTTTGAAAAAATCAAAAGTGCCTAAAAATTAAATTCCAATGACATCATAAAAACTACCAGCTTAAAAGGTGCTGAAGTGAAACTCCTTAAACTTCAGAATTGAAATTTCTATGAACTCAGAGGTTAGAATGACCATCTCACACGCCAGGGCTTTTTGGTAAAGCCCTGAATTATAACTGTGTAAACAATGGACATTACCTCATTAAACAAGTGTAATTAAAGTTGTATAAACAGCTGATATAAAGGAAGATCAAATGGTTTTTTTTTTTGAAGTTTGACTCTTGTGGCTTACAAAAAGCAAAACTCACTATTTGAGCTATTACAGAGACCACAGAATAACAAAGGAAACTGCCACTGCCAAGAGAGAGACAGTTGCAAGACTCTGATAATACTTCAACAAACTATCTGACTGTTCAGATGCTTGTTTAAAACAATCTAAGTATTTTTTTGTTTTAGATCCTGGATTATTTACAAGGTTTATAACTCTGGTGCCTGATAACCAAGTGGTGCTCAAAAATATCTCCTAAATGGATCAACAAATCTAATGATGAAAATCATAACCTTCTTAGCAATCTTTGTGAGCTAGGAAAATAAAATAGAATAGTAAACAGAATAAAAAGTATTATTAGCTTATAAACAAAGATTTCTAAGGAAAATATCTTGATAAGTGACTCATACCAGTATTTTGTATTTCATGGAACAAGTACTATTACCAAAAACAGCCCAACACTGATGCAGTTCTCTCAGCTGGGGCTTCCCCACGTCATAGGCAGTTTGACCACTTGCTCGTAAGAAGCAGGTCTACCCAACACAAATTCCATGAAATACTCGTGGCTGTTCCTCTCCCAAGCCAGATGGCCACATGGATGGTTAGCATCCCAGGAATGTGATCTAAGCCTTCCACCCGCCATTATCTAACTCCCTTTTTACAATCACTAACTCCCACATAAGGCACCAATCTATCATCATTCACTTAGTCACACACAAATGTCAAACCTGCGAAGACAAGGAGTATTTACTGCATTGGGATTGTTGGAAATGCATGCCATCTGAGTTTCTGAAAAGTCTTTCTAAACACAAACCGTAGTGTTTATGAAGTGGTCAGTAAAAAGTCTAATTTTCAAACCTCTTTCTCCCACCTCTGAACTCCTCTGAGCCTCAAAAGGCTCATTTCCTTCCAAACAATTTTCACATAGCATAGAACAAATATGTAAGAGATATTTTAAATTTTTTAAATGATGATGAACTGTATCTCCTACCACAACCTTGCTCCAATTCTAATTCCCAGTACCTCAGAATAGGCCAATTTGGAGTGGGATTTTTAAAGAATTAAGGTAAACTAAGGTCAGAAAGATGGGCCCTAATCCAATATGACTGGTGTCCCTGCAAGTAGAGGAGATAAAAACACAGACAGGTAGAGAGGGAAGACCATGTGAAAACTTAGGGAGAAGACAGACACCTATGTTCCAAACAGGTCTCAAAAGAAACAATCCTGCCATCACACTTGATTTTGGCCTTCTGGTCTCCAGAAGTAAGAGAAAATAAATTTCTGTTGTTTAAACCACCGAAGTGTGATACTGTTAGGGCACTCCTAATAAACAAATACAAATTACAGTAACATTCATCTGAGGCAAATTAGACCGTCCACTAGTTATAATGAGAAGAACACTGGTTATTCAAGAATTCAGTCCTAAAAACAAACAAACAAACAACAAAAAAAGAAAAAACAAACCTCAGTCCTGCCATACCTTCTTTTACCATTATTACTTTTTTTAAAATTCAAAATGTACAGGAAGCTAGGTGCGGTGGCAGACACCTATAATTCCGTGCTACTCTGGAGCTGAGACAGAAGGATCACAAGTTCCAGCCCATCGTCTGTAGCTTATTGAGATCTGTCTTAAAATAAAAGGAGTTGGGATGGACTCCATTCAAAAAAGTATAGAAATGAACATGTCAAAAAAATGACCTGTAAAACAAGGGTGCTTCCATGGAGGCATCAGAGTGGAACAGTTAAAAGACTGGACTTTGATTCAAACCTCCTGGACATTAAAACCTTAACTCTGCCTATTACTAGCTATGGGACCTCCAACAAATCGCTAGCCTCTATGTGGCTCAGTTTTCTCTTCTGTAAAACAGGGACGCAGGGATATCTATTCTATACAATTGTAAGGATCCAAAGAGTCAATAAATTGAATCACAGAAAACTATCATTTTTACAGTTCAAAAGTGGCCAACTATCAGCAATTTCATATGGTTAATAGGTGACAAGGAAAGTACGTAGAACAGAGCCTGGCACCCTGTAAATGTACCAATGATCGTTGCTATTACCACTTCAGCTCACTACACTAAGTAAATCATGAGCCCATCCCAACAAGCTATTTGCCTTCTGCAATGTTTGTGCACTTCAATCAACCCCCAAGAGGGCTGTGCAGGCTGTCGATCCCTTCCTTATCTTTCAGCTCCCCGGCATTCTGACCCACTGAACACTTCCTACTTCAGTGCTCATTCTGCTGCAGGAAGTCAGAAGTCTTCTCTGTGAAACAGAAGTTAACTAAACTGCACCTCAGCGAAACATGACTCTCCTCAGTCTCTACTCCCATTTTTCCTCCAGATGTGGCAGAGTGGCCCAAGAGCCGTGTCCCAGGGGAAATCAATACTACAACTGCAACAAATCCAAGATCGCACATTTTGTAGGATCAGTCACCTCCCTGAGGTCTTTTTTTTTTTTTTTTTTTTTTTCCCTGAGGTCTTGACTAAAAGCAATCCCAGGTACCACCAGGAGCTGGAACTGACTGTCACAAAACAACAGAAGTCTGAGAAGGTCACAGCCTAGCCAGATTCATGTGTCTCGACCTTTCTGGAACTCAGCCTGCGCATCCTAAAAATATCTTATTTCCTTATCTAATTCCCAATGTTGGGTTGCGAAGAACTGAGAAGGATGTACAGAAAATTAGGAAAAGATGCTCTCATCTTTGAGTGGAGATAAGGACACCCTTCCAAACAATACCCTCCAAAACTTCTCCACTGCTCGATCCTCGATCTTTTTTCGCACTCCAGCCTCAGAGGCAAAGCTTTTTCGCGCAACCGATCTTTCCCGCTGCACCCCTCAATTGGGACTTGGGATCCCGACAAAGTCTACCTGCTTTTCCCTCTGCTAGTTCTCACTCCATTCCCCTAGAACCCTAGACTCCTCGCAGGTTCTTATCCTGCCTAAACATTCGCCTCTACCTCCCTGAGCTCCTTCTTGGAGCGCCTTCCTCTGAGCGGCCCCTGGCCTCAGCAGGTGCTCTCCCTAACTTGTCCCCGTGTTCGCCAGCCGAGTTCCCCACAGCGAATGTTCCCTATACAGCCGCAGGTTTATCCCTCTCCGCAGGTGCTGGGCTCAGCCGGACCTCGACCCGCCAGGCATGCCCCTCACTCAGCAGGTGCTCCATCAACCCTGACGCCTCGCCCCGCAGGTCCCGTTCCTTCGCTGGTTCCCACACAAGTGTTCCCTCAGCCAACTCCCGCCTTTCCCTCCTCTTTGCCAGGGGACCCTCACCGGCGCGGCGGGTTCCTCAGCTGCACCGTCTCCATAGCGCTGCCAGCAGTCACCCCAACCCGCTCACTGCTCCATCCTCTCCTAGACCTCCCCGAACCCGCCCCACAGACCCTCCCACACTTCCGCTTTCCGTCCCTACCGGAAGCGATGCGCGAGAGGGCGGAGCCGCGGAGGACGCAGGCTGAGTCACGTGATGCGGGGGCCGCTCACTAGTCACGTGGTGCCAAGAGGCGCGGACCCGGACCCTTGAAGTCGCGGAGCTTCCTCACCGTGGCGTCCTCCGCGGGCGGAGAGCATGGGCGCCGCTATTTGCTATAGTTTTATCCCAAGACACTGGAGCCTCAGGCCGGGATCCCATGTGTTCCTCGGGTTTCTCCCTTTTCTCAGAGGGATATACTGAGACTTCCAGCGAAGCGAACTTGGTAAGAACTGTTGATTGTTGAAAAGCCAAGTTCTGCACGATGGGAGAGGTACTATTTCAAGGATGTTTGCAGTATTTGTAGTTCTCTGCTTACCTAGTTGAACTCTATAGTCTCAACTTACCGGTGCACAATAACAAACATCTCTCCTTTGTCTCTCTCCTAGGGTTTTTCCACATGATGAACTGAAATTAGGATAGACTTCTTTTTTCACAGAATATTCAGCCCAGTACTGCCCAGTGAAAATTCTTTCAGTGACACTATATCACTGCAATATATACCCACTGCCTAAAATGGTAACCACTAGTATACGTGACTAGCGTGGCTTGAAATGTTTATGTCCTTTAAATTATTTAAATTTAACAAGCCTCAACCAATCATGGCATGAATATGAATATGCCAATACGAAATTGGCATGTTCACTATATACATTTTGGGTGCCCAATTTATTTATCCTTCATCAGCTGATGGACATTTGGATTGTGTCAGGTTTTTAGCAAGAACTGTAGTACTTTGTTTTTTTGTTTTTTTTTTTTTTTTGGTTTTTCTCCGGTACCGGGAACCGAACTCACGACCTTGCGCTTGCCAGGCAGGTGCTTCTGCTACTGAGCTAAATCCCCAGCCCCGAGCTGTAGTACTTTGAAGTGAACTTCGGGGTTTGGGGATTTAGTTCAGTGGCACGGCGCCTGCCTGGCAAGTGCAAGGTCCTGAGTTCAATTCCCAGTACCAGAAAAAAAAAAAAAAATTAAAAAAAAAAAAAAGACAAAAATTTCAACTCTCGAAGAGTGTGCCATCTCATCGAGGCCACATGTAATCGTATTTGGTTCTACTGGGTAAAGAACAGGTATAACAACTACAGTGTCTTTAATGGGCTAATAACATAGAACAGAAACTTCTTTCTCAGTTCTAGAGGCTACAAACCCAAGATCAAGTCACCAGCAGATGCAGTTTTTGGTGAGGCTCCCTTTCTGGGTTCATAGATAGCATTTTCTTGTCTTTTCACACAGTGGAAGCAGCTGGGGATCTCTTTTATAACACCATTCCCATGACAACCCTCCATGACCTAATTACCTCCCAAAGGCCATCTTTTTGCCTCTGAGGCCATCTAATTACCTCTCTAATGCCATCACCTTGAGGGTTAAAAAGGGTGTGAACATATGACTTTTGCTAGGACACCAACTTATGTTGGATACCAGACCCTGGTAAGTCCTGGAGAAACAAAAGAGGAGGCCTACTGCCGCCTGAAAGACCTCAGTCTTGGAGGGAAACAAACTGACAGTGGTAAATGATAACTTAGGGATAAACATTAGGGATTCAGCATTAGGTAGAAGAAGGGGTTTGGAAAGTATTTCACAAGTGGATAACATAAGCAAAGGCTAGGAGATAAAACAAAGCTTAGTATGTACAGCTAACAAAAAGTTTTTTTTAAATGAAGAATTTTGTGGGACAGAGAAAGTGACACAGCAGCTAGAGATAAATTGAACTCAACCTCAGTGAAGGATCTTTATCGGTCTATTTGTGCGTTCATTTACTAAGTCAATATCAGTCCCCAAGGAGCCAGGTCCTTTCTATCTAGCCTCTGGGCCTTTGCACTTTCTGTTCTTCTGTCTGGAAAAACATTCCTTAAATCTTTGCAAGTCTCAGCCCTATTATTACCCATCCCCCAGAGAGACCTTCCCTAGCCGCCTCATTTAAAATACCTCCCCAGAAGAAAAGAAAAATAAATACCACCCACATGGTCACTTTCTATGGCATGGCCCTGCTTTTGTTTTCCTTACAGCACATTATAAAATAAGCACTTTCACTTGCTCGTGATTTGATTGCCTGCCCAACTACTCCAGAAAGGAACGTGTGCAAAGAAACTCGGCCTCCAGAGCTTCACCTATAGTGCTAAGGCACCCCTCCTAGTACCTAGGGTAACTCCAGTTACCTGGCTCGCCAAAGGAAGCTAGGAGTCCAAACTGAGCACGCGCAAAGTGAGGGGCTCTCCCGGCCTTGGGTTTGCGGAGGCTCCGCCCCCTCGCGGCCGCCGTAGCTGTGGGATTGAAGTCCTTGAGCTAGCTCTTCCGCCCGGACGCTGTTAGGCGCCGCTCGTCCGGGACGAGGCGTTCCTCATTCGCCAGTCCCGCCGGGATGGCCCCCAAACTCCCAGACTCTGTGGAGGGGCTCCGTGCTGCTGGCAACCAGAGCTTCCGCAGCGGTCAGTATGCCGAGGCATCTGGGCTCTACGGCCGCGCTCTGCGGCTGCTGCAAACGCGAGGTACGAACCCCCTCCAGTTCTCCAGGCCTGTTTCCTCCCGCACACACACCCCGGCACCTCTCTCACGCCGGCTCCTAGACCTCGCTCTGTCCCCGGCTTCCTGCGACTTTCGGGGGCGCCGAGTGACCCTCAGCACACTTCCTGCCGCTCCCCGATTTTAGCATCCTTCGAGAAACTTCTGGGCCCTTTCTTCCCATTTGCTTTTTTTTTTTTTTTTAACTGACTGCTTGGCCAGAATCGAAAGCTATTCAAGCCTGCCGGGCATGGTGGCACACGCCTGTAATCCCAGCACTGAGGCTGAGGCAGGAGAATCGTTGCGCGTTTGAGACCAGCCTGGGCTATAAAGTGAGCTCAAGGCCAGCCTGAACTGCATAGCAAGACCTTGTCTCAAAAAAGACAAAATAAGGAAAAGAAAGTTAATCAAGCCTCATTCTGCTCCTGCGGATATAGCTGAGCCCTCTTTACCCAGAACGCTTCGTTTTTCAATTAAATTAACATCAGGGGAGCACCTGTTACATACCTATCACAAGACAAAGAAGGTCTCACTTTCTTGTGGGTGGTGTGTGGCTCTTAAGTTAGTGAATAAGTAAACAAGACCTCTAGATAATTTGGTCTATGAAGAAGACATGTGATAACGTGATAGAGTTGACTGGAGCACGCTGAGAGTGAGAGGCCAAGGACAGCTCCCCTGAAGAAGGGCTGTTATTTGAGGTGATGTCTGAATGACGAAGCAGCTACCACCCCAGAAAAGTTTTGGTGTTGAGTATTCCAGGTGGAAAAAATAGTCATTCCCCTATGCTGCACGTGGAAGCCCACACCTGTGATCCTAGCGCTGGGGAGGCTGAGGCAGGAGAATGTGAGTTTGAAGCCAGCCTGAACCCCATAGCAAGACCCTATCTCCAGAAAAAACAAAAAAGAAAAGTTCCTAAACGGAATAAACGTGATATATTCAGGAGTCAAAGCACAGTAAGCCAATAGAGGTAATAGTAAGGCCTGAGGTAGGCAGAAGCTTCTTGTGTAGCTGATTTAAGCCCTCCTAAGGAGCGTAGATTTTATTCTTTGATTGGGAGCTACTGGAGAAGAGTAAACAGGAGTAGCATTTTCTTGTCAGTTCCCCCAGCCTCCAACTCACTTTAACCAACCACATACCTTTCCCCAGAGTCTTGCCTCTTCTCCAAAATATCTCATCCAGCCAGGTGTGGTGGTGCACACCCTCTGATCCCAGCACTTGGGAAGCAGAGGCAGGAGAATCACTATGAGTTCAAGGCCAACCTGAACTATATAGAGACCCTGTCTCAACAAAACGAAACAAAAAATCACGTCCAGGAGCCCACATGGTTAAAGCTTTGACTTCTGAAAAGAGCTTTGGCTCTCATTTTCTGTAAGTTGCTGTAATATGTTTCTCTTTGTCTTCCTCATCTTTCTCATCTTCATTCCTAATACTGGAGATTGAATGCAGGTTCTTCCAACTGAGTTGTAACACCCCACCACACACACACACACACACAGGGTCTCACTAAGTTGCCCAGGCTGAACTTGAATTTGTGATTCTCCCTCAGTTTTCCAGAGAGCTGGGATTACAGGTGTACACCACTGTCTTAGTTACTTTTCTCTCGTTGCTGAGACAAAATACCTAACGCCCAAAATGAAGGAAGGAAAGGTTTATTTAGCTTACAGTTTGTGGAGGTTTCAGTCCACACATGGTTGGCTCCGAGGCAGAACATAGCAAAGCAACAAGAGCAAGGGGGAATGGCAGTCGAACAGCAAAACAGCCAGAACAAAAGGGAGGAATCAGGGCCAGGAGCCTCTTTCCCTGCCTCACATTGTAAACAGGCTACCCCCACCTAAGGGGCGTGTAGCTCTCACATAATCTCCATGCCCTCCTCTTCCACAGGCTCAGGATGTATACAAAGTAAGCACCCTGGCTCCCTGCTGAGTCACTTAGCCAAACTCTAGACTCCCCAAGTTGACACAGTGTATCAACCATAGCAACCACCATGCCCAACTCGTCTAATTTTCTTGTCTGGCATTTGCTGAGTGCTGGACATTATAGATACTGTCTTTGTTTATTTGTATCATGACCTTACAAATACGACACTGTAGATGAGGACTCTAGAAAAATTAAATTGCCTTCCTCAGAGTTACACAATGAAGACATGCCAGAGGTATGGATCTCATTACTGAGTCCAAGTTTTTAACGGTTTAGTTGGACTGAACCACAAATCCGCAAATGCAGGCTTTTTTATTTTTTAGGAGTTACAGAGAGTACCCTTCCCTTGTCCCCCAAACCTCGTTAGGACTACCTGCTCCCTCACGTCAGCCTTATTTGATGAAGGTGCTAAAGAATATGAGAGATTGATGTTTCTGCCTTTTCTTTGATCCCACTCCAGCTGGCCTGGGAAAGCTGTGCTTTTGTGTGGGTTTATTCTGAGTCCCTAGAAGAGCTGGTCAGATGTTTTACATTTACCAGAGACCAGAGTTTGGTTCTGATCCTCTACTAATTTTCTAGGAAACTTGTAGGATGGTCTCTTTATTTCTCTGATCATTTTTCTTGATCCTCCAAGAAGCACAGGGAATATCCTAATGCAGTGAAGTGATACCCTCATGTAGTAGGTGAGCACACAGCATCGGAGGGTTGAGTGACTTGTACAAGATCACGGGCTGAATTGTAGATTCTGATGCCTTTTGCAGCACCCTACTGCAGTTTCTGAGCAGCCATGCTCTGGTGACCTGAGAGGGAACACGTGTTCTGAGTACTTGTTTCTTAAGGGCAACGGTGTACTTTATGTATCTCTACTCTGTTTCCAAGCCTGGCAAAATTAGAGAGAAAAAAAGAACTATTAATTTATTATGTTTGTTATTGTTAGTATTGAATGAAAGATATCAGATGTCAACATGGTATCATGATACTGAATGAAAAAGCAAGGATAGGCAATATGATGCCACTAAGGAAAAGTTTAGTAGATAATGATATTGTCTCTTACCTGTAACTATATATGTAATAAAAACAGGCAGTGCTGGAAAATTTATGCACCAGCTTTAGGATTGTGCTGACTGGGGTTGTATGGAGAGAGCACAGGGTGAAGGACAAAGATGAGTAGAGCTTTTGCCCTATCAAAAATTAAGAAGGCTGGAAATAAATATAATATGTTAAATATAGTGGAAAATACCGATTATCTGGTTTTCTAAATGTTTTGACTCTCTATGAGTACATGTTTATAGTACATAATGATTACATTCATTGCATGGCAGAGTAAGTACATGTATATAATGTATCATAATTCTTTTTATTTCCCTTTCCCTCTCCTTCTCCTCCCTCCCCCCTCCTTCCATCTCAATGTATGTTTCAATGTCTTAAGATCTTGTTTGCAGTCTTTCTGAATATATACCTAGGAGTAGAGTTCCTAGATCAATACCTATTTTTAATGTTTTGTTGCTGTTGCTTTAATTATGGCCTGTGGGTTTGAAGTGGTTGAAAAGTATTTTTAAAAGTGACAATCTGGTGCATACCTGTAAACTTAGCACTCAAGAGGCTAAGACAGGAAGATCAAGAGTCAAGACCAGTCATGTAGTAAGACCTTGTCTCAAAAAAAAAAAAATTAAGAAAAAAAAATCACTGTAGCCACAGTGAGGAAGTTGACCTTCTATGATTCCCGAGGGTAAGGACTGTCTTTAGAGAAGTGACTGATCATTCTCCCCATTGGGTACCTTGAATCTGTCTCCTAAATATCTTGGCAGACATAAATTAGTTACCATTTCCCTGACAAAGGCCTCTCTGACCAGGTAGAACCACTCTGACTCTCTTATCCCTATAACTCTCGGTCAGTTCATTTGTCAGAGATTTAATTATATGGTGATTTAATTATATGGTCTTTTTCCTTTTCTTTAGCTTTATTGGATTTACATGCTTTTTGTAATAAAATTAACACATATCCAAGTAGTTAAACATGACATTCTGTTTATTTATTTTTTACCATCCTGGGAATTGAACACGGCCTTTGTACTGGACTATATCCCCAGCCCACCCCCATTTTTTTTGGAGACAGCATCTAGCTAAGTCATTACATTGCCCAAGCTGGACCCAAACTTACAGTCTCATTGCCTCAGCTTCCCAGAGTGCTGGGATTGCAGGTGTGTGCCACCACACCCAGTTCAGCATGGATTTTCTGATACAGAAGCGAGGTGTTTCTTGCGTATCTTTTGCCTGGTATCACATTCAGTGCTAGATGAGTGAATGAAGAGATGCTTGGTTCCCTGTGAATAGCAGAAAGCTAGGTGTCCCCTCTCTCATGCAAGAACGGGTACACCAGGCTAATCAAGTTGCAGTCCTCTGCTTTCCCCAGAGCCAAGAGAGCTCCTGGCATGAAGGGCATCGCCCTACCCTGAAACATCCATCACTGATGATCTTCTCAGTCTATCTGCCTGAACAGGTTCTTCAGACCCTGAAGAGGAAAGCATTCTCTACTCCAACAGAGCAGCGTGCCACTTAAAGGATGGAAACTGCACAGACTGTATCAAAGACTGCACTTCGTAAGTGCCCAAGGCAACTTTGGGATGCCTGGAGGTCTTCGAGGATCTGGTTTATTTCTTCTTTGGAGGGTTCCTACCAGTTATATCTGTGGCAGGTAGTAGGAAATGTCAGTAAGGGACACTAGGCCGCTGAGAAGGAGAGGCTCCAGTTGGTCCTTGTGGTTCTCAGCTTCTTTTATCTTTGATGTTTCAGCTCTAGTGTTGCCAGTTAGAGGTAGATTTTCCAGGCTTTGTGAGACTTAGGTAAGATATGAGGGATGATCAAAATATATGGTCATTTAAATATTTAAATGTTTTTAAAAATTTATTACAGTAAAATACACATTTCTATTAATCCGCTCCTCCAAATCTCCCCCTTTCTTCAAACACACCTATCCCATTATTCTTGCCATTTTCTTTTTTTTTGTTTTTGTGTTTTGAGACAGAGTCTTACTATGTAATTCAGGCTGGCCTTGAACTCACTGTATACCCCAGGCTGACCTGGAACATGCAGTGATCTTCCTGCCTCAGCCTCCCAAGTGCTAGGATTACAGGCGTGTGCCACCATGCCCAGCAGTTTTGTCACTTTCTGAAGCAATTCTGAAATTCCTCTTTTGTGTCTTTATGAAATATGATCAGAAATACAGTGAATGCTGCTGAGTGCCATTCAGTGGAAAGGCAGGCTCATAAAAACATGATGCTGTGTTCTCATCTACCGTGTTCACCAGATGTGGCACCATGCGGCTTCTGGCTCTTCCTCAAAGCCAGAGTGACCAGAAAAGTTCAGGACAGCAAGGTAGGCACAACAGCATAACAAAGAGGACTTCCAGAACTGCTTTGGAAAGTGACCAGAATGATGGGAAAAGTGTGTCCAAAGCAAGGTGTATTAATAATAAAGTGTCTTTTACTGTAAAAAGTTAAAAAAAAAATATTCACTGTACTTTTTATCACATGGTGTAGAATTACAGACCCACGACTGACTTGCCTAAATGTTTTTCTGAGACGTGTGAGAGCAAAGAAAGAAGGATACGTGTTAATAGTTTGTCTCTAGAAAGGGAGACAGGAAATGGGTATCTATCACTGACGATTTATAGAGGACATTGAACAAGTTTTCATACCTCTTCTTCAGGCAAATCTTATACTGCCTTTGTTTATCAGCACTAAACTAGCATGCATCTACTCAAGCTTGGATTCTCAAGCTTGATAGCTGTGATGTAGCCTTAGATTCATGCCCTGGTGGTAGACAGGCGAGGAGCAGGAAGGGGAGCATGCTTATTGAGTGTGTGGTAGGTATCCTTTGAGTGTTCACAATCACTCTTTGGGGTAAGTTTATCCTTTTTTGTGTGTGCGTGTGGTGCCGGGAATTGAATTCAGGGCCTTGTGCTTGCCAGGCAGGTGCTGTGTCACTGACTACATCCCTGGCCCTAGTTTACCCTCTTTCCCAGGCCAGAACTGAGTTCTCGAAGATTGGACTGGAGTTACATGGTTAATGCAGAGGTGGAATCCGGAAACCACCCTAGCTGACTCCTTTGTTAGTCCGAGTGGGTCAACAGTTTAAAAAAATATATGATAACATGAAAGCCATGAGGCTCTTGTTTGTCATTTTGGGGTGTGTATTTGTTTTGTTTGAGACAGGGTCTTGCTGTGTAGTTCGAACTGACCTTGAACTTACAGTGTAGTCCAGGTGACCTTGAACTCTGAGCAGTCGCCCTGCCTCAGCCACCCAAGTGCTGTGATTACAGGCATGTGCCACCATGCCTGCCTTATCATTTTAGGAGGGATTGAAGCTATGACATTTGATGCATACGCACACAAATTTCACAATATGCATGACTCTTTGCCCTCTTTCCATCCTATTTCAACCTAAGTTGAAAAGCCCTGCTCTGAGGTTTGGCATTTTTAGCAGTATCTCTTGGCCAGAAATTACCTCCAATATACTAAGTACTACAGATGACCTTACCTAGAAGAAACTGCAAGGGAGTCCTGGTGGCCCATTTGGTAGATGACATTTTTGCCTTCTGTTGCAGAGCACTGGCCTTGGTTCCTTTCAGCATGAAGCCCCTGCTGCGGCGAGCTTCTGCCTTTGAGGCTCTGGAGAGGTACCCTCTGGCCTATGTCGACTATAAGACTGTGCTGCAGATTGACAGTAGTGTCATGTCGGCCGTGGAAGGCGTAAACAGGTGAGCCCAGCGCGCTATAGAACTTCTCCATGGAAATCTGTTTTCCCTGCTGGGATTTGAGCCCTTGTGTTGTTGTTTTATGGGAGGGATCCCTTTGGTGAGTCATAGAAAACTCCTAATGAGTATGTAGGGAAAATGTAGAAGGGGAATCTGTGGTTATATTTCTTAGGCATTTAAAAGGAGTAAAAATTACTGAGATTGATTTTTACCTAGATGTGTGAATTCATTTACACAGTAGTATTTAGCTCTCTTTAACATATCGTGCCAGGTTCATTTGGGGATACAAAATTTAAGAGATTGAGACCCCACTCTTCTACAAATACCTAGCTCTAATTGGGAGATTTTTTTTTTTTTTGGTTTTTCTCTGGTACCGGGAACCGAATCTAATTGGGAGATTAAGGCACATGCATAAGCAGCTAGTCCACAGCCTATAGGGATGTTGTCAGGATATTGTACTGTGACTTTTCATGAGATCACTCAGGTGAAATATCTTCTGGGCTTCTCACCCATGGATGGTTTTTATTTCATATTTCCCCTCACTGTGTGAGTTGCTAGAAAGCCAAATGCCACACTAACAGAAAATCTTTGTCTCCATAATGTTTGGTTTCTTGCTTTGCTTTTGACAACACCGTCTGTTTTGTTTTTGCTTTGTTTTAATTTCTTTCATTCAACAAAATCCACCAGTTATGTATTACACTTTATATAAGGACCTACTGACAGGCTGAGACATATCCCCAGCTGAGCTATATCCCCAGCCCCAGTCTTAGAGATTTAAGCATCATCAACACAGAAGTGGATTGAGACTGTCTTATTTTTCTCTCTGCTGAGACAAAATACCTGACACCCAAACAAACCACCTTGTGCTCTCATGAGGCTCCTGGTCTCTGGGGAATACTGGAGACCAGAATGAGCAATCTCAGTACAGTGAGTGAAGTGATGTGATAGGAGACAGCACAGGGGCTCTAGGGACAGAAAGTCACCCAACCAGCTAGAAGGATGAGGGAATCCAGAGAGGGCTTCTCAGGGGAGGTAAGCTAAACAGAGAGATCTGGGGCAGGTGACTAGCCAGGAGAAAAGATAGCAGGTGCAAAGGTGAGGGACATGAGGTATCAAGGTACTGCGTGGTTCTACAGGTTCTACAGGTAGGAGGCTAAACATGGTCCTGGTTGTTGAGGCCAGGTTACACAGGGCCTCGTCTTCGGGGATTTGGACTTAAACCAGAGCAAATGTGACCTCAAAAAAAGGTCTTTATCCTCTAGCACTCAGGAGGCTGAGGCAGGAGGATTGGTGCAAGTTCAAGGCCAGCCTGGACTACATAGTGAGTTCAAGGCCAGCCTAAACTATATAGTGAGACCCTGTTTCAAAACAAACAAAAAGTAGCTCCAGGGGAAAGCCCTGGGTTCTATCTGCAGTCTGAGGGTGAGGGGTGAGGGGATGTAAGGAAGGTAACTGGGCATTTAATGGGTTTGGAGCAAAGCAGAAAAATATAGGCCAGTCATAGAGGTTTTTCTTTGTTGGGGGTGCCAGGACTAGAACTCGGGACCTTGCACTTGCCAGGTAGGCACTGTACTGCTGAGCTATATCCCCAGCCCTAGTCATAGAGATTTAAGTGTCGTCAACACAGAAGTGGATTGAGACTGTCTTACTTTTCTCTCTGCTGAGACAAAATACCTGATGCCCAAACTTAAGCAAGAAAAGGTTTATTTGGTGCTCAATTTGTGGAGATTTCAGTCTGTAATCAGCTGGCTCCAGGCAGGGTGGCATGGTAGAAGGGCAACAGTTCAAGGCTGCAGAAGTCAGCAAAAGCAGGCTGCGGAAGTCAGCAAAAGCAACGAGCAGAAGAGGAGAAAGAACAAGAATCTCCTCCTCCCTTATGTTCTGTGCAACCTGCCTGCCTTTGGGTGAGTATAGCTCTCAAATGTGCCCTCTTGCACAAAGTAAGGACCCTGACCTCCTGCTGAGTCACTTAGTTAAACTTCTAAACTTCTCAAGTTGACACAATGAACAACATCCTAGAGCAGTGAGGGCATGTCCTCCACCCACTAGGATGTAGAACTGCTGACTTACTTAGTTCAGCTTCTAGACTTCTAAAATTGACACAATGTACCAGCCGTTACAGAGGCTAAGAGAGAAAGAAATAGTTCAGTGCAGATAGAGCGGGTAGAGAGAGGGCGTAGCTGTAGGAGAGGTCTGCCTGGGTAAGGTCTCCAAGAGATCCAGAGCTTTGGTGGAAGGGTTGTCCCTTTTGTCTCCTCTATTGTGACAGGAGAGAAATAGGGAGGACTTAGTACCCAGACAGGTAGGTTTGTATTTGGGATATGAGGAAGTTTGCTTTGAAAATAGAGAAGGGTTAGGGAACAGATTGAAGGAGCTTTAAAACAGCGGGGCTGACCAGGAAAACTGTTTTGGGGGCCTAATCGGAGACCATGGATTTGTAGTAGTCTCAGTGTGTGATTTTCATTCCTGTAACATGCAAACATGGCTGTAGAAGCAGGAAAGGTATAAAGTTGGCTTTTTTCACTCATTAGGTCCCAAGTGACAGGCTTGGTACTAGAGATCAGTTAACAAAATGGACATGGTCCCAGAGCAGCATGTTAAGCTGAGAACCAAAGAATAAGTAGGAGTTAGCTGGATCTAGAAAATTGGAAAGGAAAGTAGAAGACGTTTCCAGATAGAGAAATATGAGCACGAGGATCAGGGGGAATGTGGAACGAAGTAAGAGTGAAGTAGGAGAGGGGTCTAGACCTCACATGTTAGCCTAGGGAAATGGAAACCACTAACAAGTTTTAGGATTTGAGAACGCCTTAAACTTGGCATTTTAAAAAGAAATCTAGCTAGGTGCAGTGGCACACGTATAATCCCAGTAGTTGGGAGGCTGAGGCAGGAGAATCAAAAGTTGGTGTCCTACCTGGAGATAAATATACTTCAGTGTGAAGGCCCTGAGTCCAATCCCCAGTTCCAAAAAAAGAAGCTGAGCATTGCTTGCGTGGCTTTGTACTAGATTTACTGAGAAAATGTAAAACATTGAAAACATGAGATCTTTCCATGGGGAATGTGTAGTCTTTCTGAGGGCAGATCGCCACTTTACAAAGTTATGACGGGATGACCAGGCTGAAGGCGAGGAACGTTATGATGGCTGATCCATATAGGCGTGTACTCGGGCAGACTTGTGTTCCTCCGATGCAGCATGTTAGAGGCTGCAAACGGATGTTCATTCCAGGCGAAGCGCGATAACTGACTCTTCTGCTAGCGCAAACCTCCCTGCAACCCTCCCTCCTCTTCCAGAATGACGAGAGCTCTCATGGACTCATTTGGGTCTGAATGGCGACGGAAGCTGCCTGCTATCCCTGTGGTGCCTGTCTCAGCCCAGAAGAGGTGGAATTCCTTGCCTTCAGAGAACCACAAAGAGACAGCCAAAAGCAAATCCAAAGAAACTGCAGCTACGAAGAGCAGAGGTCTGTAACTCCCTGCCCAGATTGTTTCCTCAGCTACACAGTGAGGTGATGATAAAAGCTACCTCAGCTATACGAATTAAACAATATAAGGTATATCAAACCCCAGCCTGGCATCCAGGTATGTGGTTTTAGTTCCCCTTCCTCTGGCAGCATTTTGCATGTTTTGCTTAGGATGTTTTTGATTGCAAGAAGAAAAATATGATATGACAAAATGGTAAAGAGAGTTTATTGGTTCAAATAAGTGACAAATCCAGAGAGAGGTCAGGCGAGGCGTGCCCCTCCGTTCCCCGCATGTCCGACAGGCTCTTGTTTCAAGACTTCTCCCCACTCTGCCTCATCGTGTGTCAGGGTTGTCTTCAGGCAGGCTCTCGTAATGGTACAACAGCCCAGCCGTAGCAATGCCTGGCGTATAGCCATAGAGATGCTAGTTATTTAGAGGAAGGAAGAAGAGTTTTTCTCTCTCCCTTCACAAACACTGTAGCTCATATATTTTCTTAGTTTGTTCTGGTCCGATTGATCACAGGCCACTATATCAGGGAATGAGTCATTCCCTCCTCACTTCCCCATTACTTGGGATTGAACCCAGTGTTTCTATACTAAGCTATACCCCCTGTGCTTTTTAATTTTTTATTTAGAGACAGTCTACTAAGTGTCCACATGGGGCTTGAACTTTTAGCCCTTCTGCCTCACCATGCCAGGGTGCAGGGATTACAAGCATGAACCACCACGCTCAGCACTAGGAGTAAGACTTTGTGACAGCTCAGCCCTGGGCCATCCGCCCCACTTCTATAACGACGGGGTGATGCTTTCCCGTGAACACATGCCCTGTGTGAATCCCTGGAAGATGAGTAAGAAAAGATTGAAGTTGGGCAGCAGGAGACTGTTTACTGGGAAGCTGTTAGGATAGTATAAGGGAACTGTCCCAGCCCAGCAAGCTGTAAGGGTTGAGGTTACAGAGGTGCAGAAAGGAGCAGGGCTGGAGCCCTAGCATGTGTAAGTAACCCTTAGTTAGGGCAGAAGTTACTCCTCTTTCAGGAGAGGGGTATCTGGCCATGGGTAGCTCTCGCTCTGGTTTGTAGGAGCCTGGTAAGTGTTCCCATCCTTCCCTAGAATGAGAATGTGGGGTGCTAATGAACTAGAGAGCTTCACAGTACCTACCGTTTATTTTGTTCTTTTGAAGCCACTAAGCCCTGTGCGTTTCAGTGTGACACGGAAGACAGAGGCATTCTTGCCCTCCAGGAAGCTTTTGCTCCGGGTGTGAGACATGGAAACAGAACACTTTAGAATACCAGGAGGAACGCATGCTGTAGTCTTTAGTGTTCGGAAAATTCAAATTAGAGGTGGGCTTACGTGTGTTTGGGGAGTCAGGGAAGGTTCACAGAGGAGATGGCGACGGAGGTGATGCCTTGAACTAAACCTTGGTGGTGAGGTCGTCAGGTGGGAGAGGGACAGAATTCTTGACAGAGACATGGAGGGAGTTGGAGGGTGAAAGGGCACAGGGTAAACAGTGGGAATAAACATGAGTGCAGTGAGGTACGTGTCAGAGCCACGTGCACACATGCGAGGCCACGTGCGAGGCCAGAGCTGTGCACACATCACAGCCCGCTGTGGTACTTCTAGAGAAGCTCACGCTCATGTGCAAACACAGTTACATGCGTTAACACAGATGAGTCTCAGGAATATAATGAGGTGGGGGGAGTGATAAAAGAATACACAGACTTATTTACTCTCTACATGAAGTTAAAAAACAAGACAACAGTTGGGCGTAGTGGTGCACACCTGTATTCCCGGAGGCTGAGACAAGGTTGCTGTGAGTTTGAGGCCAGTCTGGGGTACATAGTGAGTTCAAGGCCATTCTGAACTCTACATAGCAAGACCCTATCTCAAAAAAACAAAAAAATTGTAAAAATTGCCAGGTATGGTGGCACACGCCTGTAATCCCAGCACTCGGGAGGCTGAGGCAGGAGGATCACCAGGAGTTTGAGGCCAGCCTGGTCTTTATAGTAAGTTCAAGGCCAGCCTGAACTGCATTGTGAGACCCTGTCTCAAAAAAAAACAAAAGAAAAGAAAAAAAAAAAAAACAAGGTAATAGATGATTTATAGGTACTATCATACATAGTTATATATATATTTTTTAAAGCACATAGGAAAGCAGCACAGAATCAAGCATAATAGTTTGGTACAAGAGCAGACTGAGAGAGGGCCCTTCAGGACCTCAGAGGCACTGCACTAGTAATGTGCTATTTCTTAAACATGAAGATGAATTCAGGGCTTCATTTTATTCTTGCAATATTACCCTTGTTAGAAATATTCAGTATTTTGTAATGATAAACTGGAACAGTAACCTGGGGCCAAGCAGCGAAAGGTCTTGAACACAAACATTAGATTAGGTTTCACCTTGCTCTTGCCTTTCTCTCCTTGAAAGATGGAGGATGCTCAGGCGCAGGCCAAAATCGGGTAAGCAGGCTCTTCGGCCCTTTTTCAAAAGCCCTGAAGCTACAGCCTTTCTTAACTAGATGCTGGTTTATTAATACTTGCTCTCCTGCTCTAAGTTTACTACACTTTCTCTTGCATTCTCAGATCTGATTCTCCCAATTACCCTTTTGTGGAGTAATTGTGGCTCCATCATAGTAGTAAGGAAATTGAGGTCTAAAAGTGACTCAAACCTGGGTTGCTTTTTATTATGTGTATGTTTACTATGTGCATGTATAAACATGTTTATAACATGAATCCCCAAGATCTTCTGAATGAAAATGGTTCAGTTCCCCCAGAAGCCATTAATTAATGGAGGGAATCACTGGTCAGGAAGGATGACTTGCAAAAGTGTAGGCAATCGTGGGGGCGGGGGAGTTAGAGATAACATAGAGGAGCTGATGCTGAAGAGATCTTCCTGATCTCATCTGGGCACCTGCTCCATGTTTTTTTCCTCTTCTGAATTTGTATCTAGTGCCTTCTGCTGGGGATGTGGAGAGAGCCAGAGTTCTGAAGGAAGAAGGCAATGAGCTTGTAAAGAAGGGCAACCATAAGAAAGCTATTGAGAAGTACAGTGAAAGCCTCTTGTTTAGTAACCTGGAATCCGCCACTTACAGCAACAGGTATCTTCTACAGAGCTGCTGGCTTGGGGGATCTCAGGAAGTTGGATGTTTTGTTCCATAGTCCTCTCTCCAGCTGTGGTGGGTGTTTCGGTCGCTGGCAGTTAAGTCATATGCTCAAAATAGGCATTCACACAAGTGCCAGGTACTATGAGCCAGGTGCTGCCAGTGCTGTAGCTCTCTTAAGGGGGTGGAAACTAAAGAATGCCAAAGGGTAACCTGGGATTTCCTAGTCTCTCCCCCCAGAATTTTTATTAGTCACCCCCAACAAATATAAGTAAAAGCAGTGTGCTTGCCGTGTAAACATAACCCTTTGCCTCACCATCCTCCTGCTCCCTGCCTCATGGCTTCTGTAAGACCTTCCTGTTGGAAATACCAGCAGTCTTTGTCTGAGAGTACTGGCCCACAATCCTGAGAGTGAAATACCTGTTTCCTGGCCTGGGAGTAGGAGCAAGGGGTGCAGTTTAGCCTGAGAGGTTAGACTTGGGGGCCTGTGGAAGGCTGTGCCAGGAGCTCACATCACTGACCACTGATAGTGAACTGTCCCTTTATTGTGTGGGACTCACTGCCCTCTGCCACAGTGCTAGGAGGAATAGGTGGGAGGTCTTCTGCTTTAACATTGAGAAAACCAAGCCTCAGAGAAGGAAGGACTCTGCGTGCACACACCAAACCAACTAGTGGCATCAGAATTGGAGTCTGGCCCTAATGAGATCTGTTAGTTTTACTCTCAGAGCTCTATGCAGTCAGCAGGGTACCCTCTATGATCCAAACATTTATTATAAACATTTTTTAGAAAGCCAGGTATAGTGGCGCAGGCCTGTAATCCCAGCACTCAAGAGGCTAAGGCAGGAGGATTGCTGAGTTTGAGGCCACCCTGGACTACATAGTGAGCTCAAGGCCAGCTTGAACTACAGAATGAGACCCTGTCTCCAATGAATGAATGAATAAATGAATTTAACTCATAGAAATTCCACAGCAACATGAGGTGGTAGAAAGATAATTAATCTCATGTCAGTTTAGGTCTGGTTTTGTTGCCAAAAAGTTGAAAATTTTGCAAGTTTGGATTTTTGAGTTTTGGACCTGGGGCTGATTGAACCAGGGGCGCCGAGCTCTCCAGGCTAACTGGAAGGAGGCTGCGGCCTATTCACTCCATGTTTATGTGGCAGCTGCTGATACCTGTCTGTTCTTTGGCCTTTATGCTGGTAGTCGACCCCATTAACCCATTCTCCTGGATTTTTTTTTTTCATCACAGCTAGGATAGTATTTTGTTTAAACACTGTTCTTTAAGTAAATGTGTCTGTGCCAAACTTGTGGTTACACTTGTTTTATATCATCGTGTAGAGCTGATCTTTTCCTCATTTTTCTTAACCATAGCATACCTGGCAGTCCTCCCAGTTCTGGCTGAGCTTTTGGATCATTTTGACAAATTCCAAAAATGATTTTACGGGAAAGCTTTTGGTTGTGATTGTGTGGAGCTTATAAATTTAATTTAGAGGACTAATTAAAAAATGAACTTTCATGCATTGTGGCTGAAATCATACCACATCCTATATGTAGTTTTAATATTTTACCTCATATATACCTACCTATGGAGTAGTACTACCTACCTACCACTGTTACGGAACAGTGTCTTGTCCCTCACTCTTTTTTGGTTTGTTTGTTTGTTTGTTTTTGAGACAGGGTCTCGCTATGTAGTTTAGGCTGGCCCTGAACTCACTGTGTAGCCTGGGCTGGCCTCAAATTCACAGACATCCTCCTGCCTCAGCCTCCCGAATGCTGGGATTATGGGCATGTGCCACCATGCCCAGCAGTTAGGGATTTTTTGAGACAGTCTGACTGTGTAGTTCAGGATGGGCTTGAACTCACTATGTAGCCCAAGCTGACCTCAAACTTGTGGCGATCCTCCTGCCTCAACCTCCCGAGTGCTGGGATTATAGGCGACCATCATGGGGCCCAGCACCCTGGCTTACTCTTTGTGCAGCTGAAACTTGACTGTGTGGTACCACTTAGTACCCAGCACCTACAGCTTGCCAGATCCAGCATGAACTTTCTATTTAATAGTTCTTTCAAGTTGTTTCATAGGCCCATTCCACCCAAACAGGCTAGAGAAGATGAAAAGATGAATTAATGAGTACATATGGCAGTGCTGAGATTTAAGTCAGGTCCTTTTTTTTTTTTTGGTACTGGGGTTTAGATCCAGGGCCTTGTGCATGCTAAGTATGAGTGTGATCAAAAAATACAGTGATTTAAAAATTATTACAGTAAATTAAACCCACATTTATCCTACTGTTCTGTTCTTGCCACTTTCTAAAGCAGTGCTAGAAGTCCTCTTTTGTGTCTTTAGCACTTGTGCTATTTATATGCTTCAGTGTCCTAAAACACTTACCTTTCATGGTCATATTGATGATAGGGAGAAGCTAGAAATCCACAGTACCAGATCTAGTGGATGAGGACACACCATAATGTTATCACAAGCCTGCCTTCCCGCTAGATAGCACTCTGTGGCAGTCCCCATGTTTTTTATCACTTTTCAGACAGACAAGAAAGAGGACTTCCAGAACTGCCTCAGAAAGTGGCAAAAAGCTGGGTGTGGTAGCGTATACCTGTAATCCCAGCATTTGGAAGGCTGAGGCAGGAGGATCGTTGCGAGTTCTAGGCCAGCCTGAACTGCATAGTGAGACCCTGTCTCAAAAAAATAGAAAAAAGAAAGAAAGTGGCAAGAGGGATAAATGTGTTGAGGGGGGTGGTGTAAGAGGATTAATGGCATTGTCTTTTACTATAATAAAATTTTTAATTAACTATGCATTGTATATTTTGAACACCCCTTATATGTGCTCTACCACTTACATGAGGGGAAGAAAATTCCACAAAAGTTATTCAGGAAAAATTGGATAAAATTTTATGTCATACAATTTAAAAACTTTATGTAAAGGTCTTCGTTGAGCTTTAACAATAAAAGAGCTAAATTTTAAAAGTGAATCAGTTGCCACCAGAATCGTGGAACAAATCTGCAACCAAAATTATGGCAAGAATTAAGTCTGTGAACCAGACTGTACTGTTGCCTTCCATGTTGGCAGAAATTAAAGTTTGAGACCTAGGTTTGGTATAATTGTAGGAAAATAAACTCATGTCAACTATAGTTGTTGACAGTACTTTCTTTGGAGAATACTTGGGCAGTAACCAACAATTTAAAATATATATGTCTTAACTCAGCAGTCCCTCCCTCATGGGTGTTCACTGTAGTATCATTTGTTTATAGACTGGAAACAAAATATGACTGATAAGGACTTGGTAAAGTAGATACATCAGACTAATGAATACCCTGTACCCACTAAAACCTGAGCTGATAGGATTGAATCAACTTGGGTAACAAGTTCTAGGACATCTGACAGTTGTGATTTTAGTGATTGTCTTTGGAGAAAAAGGCCAGACTTCAATGAAGAGAGATGTACTTTTCCCCTACTGATGGAGAGTATTTTGTTTTATTGATATACATAATTATTTTATCCCAGCATTTTTTATGAAAAAATTTCAAATTACAGGAAATTTGATTTGGTTTTTTGGTTTTTTTGGGTTTTTTTTTTTTCCGGTACCAGGAATCAAACTCATGACCTTGTGCTTGCCAGGCAGGCGCTGTGCCGCTGAGCTAAATCCCCAGCCCCAGGAAATTTGGAAGAATAGAACTTGGAATACCATATACACTACCATCTATAGCATTAGTGGCAAACCTATGGCACGTGTGCCACCATGGGCTGTGTGTTATCACTGAAAGGTTCACCATCACTGACAGTAGCATTGTTATTCACTATGTCGTTCTTTAGCTATTTGTCAGTCCCTCTCGTTATTCTTGACACATTTCAAAGTAAATTGCAGACCTGTTTCTATTTTTTTACCCCTAACATGTCGGCATGCTTATCATTGACTGGAGTTCAGTATTTGTGTTTGATTTTTCTAACAGATACTCTTTTACTCCATCAAAGGGGTGGTCTCAGGATGGCTTTTTCTTTTCTTAAAAGTGCCTGATAAGAGAAAGTGAAGTAGATGGTATGACAGAACCAAACTGTCCCAGGGTCAGGAGTCATACAAAGCCATCTGGTTTGCACTTCAGACACCTGGTAGTAGTGGTAGCACCTTGGACAAGTCCTTTCATCCCTCTGAACCAGCTGAAAGTTTTTTGTATTTCTCATCTGTAAGAAAGGGTAGGATTACTGTGTCAAAGAAAATAGTAACAGCACAGAGTAGGTGTTCAGCAAATCAGAGATCAGTCCACAGCTGCCTTCCAGTTCTTGACACCCAGAGAAATGACTGAACCCTACAATGGTCTTTCCCATCAGAGCGCTCTGCCATCTGGTCCTGAAGCAGTACAAGGAGGCAGTGAAAGACTGTACGGCAGCCCTCAAGCTGGATGGAAAAAATGTGAAGGCGTTTTACAGACGTGCTCAAGCCTATAAGGCACTCAAGGTAAAAGGCCTTGCCCAGAAGTGCCACCAGGGCTAGAGAATTACGCCAGTGCTGTCCTTTGGAGTGGAGTCATGAGGTGAGGCAGTGCCTGCTGAGTGCCTTCTCCTGGGCCCCAGCATCGCTCAGGGCATTTAGGGGCTTGAAATCACTATGCTGCCCCAACAGCTATGCCCACCCCAGCCGGACCTCCCTTCCTCCAAACCCGCTCCCCATGCTCCTCTCCTCTCTCCCATTAGGACTACAAATCCAGCCTTGCAGACATCAGCAGCCTCCTACAGATTGAGCCCAGGAACGGCCCTGCACATAAATTACAGCAGGAAGTTAACCAGAACCTGAAATGAAAACTCAAAAAGGCAGCGGGAACCCTCTACCTGACCTTCCCAGAGAAGCCAAGGCCTCCCCTCTGCATCGGTCCCTGAACCCAGCATGCTCCAGAGGGAGCCCTGAAGCACCCCCACCCCAGCCCCTCAGAGGCAGCAGCCTTTCATCCCTGTGGAGCTTCATTTGTTCAAATTAAGCTCACTGTAGTCAAGCACAGACCTTGTTTTGCCACAAAGCTCCCCACTCCAGCTAACGTGTGAGGCTGGAGTGCTGTCCCCATCCCTGCTTCACACAGCTAGAGAGGATCACACACAGGTCCTCATTAGCAAAGCACTTGGCTTTGTTCCTGCCCCAGTGTGGTGCGGACTGAGTGCTGCCCTGTAGCTTCAGCAGACCCCCGCTTCTTTGCAGTTAACCTGAACAGAACCCCTTGGGCAGGGGTTGGTATGGGGTGTAAGGAAAAGTCCTGGCCCGCCTACACAGAGCAGCCTGTTGAGCTGGACCTCCAGGGCTGCCATCTCCCTGTGGGTGCAGCTGCTGTCCCCACCCGCCCTTACCACAGTCTTCTGTGTCTGAGCCCCAGTGCCTTTAGTCCTGGCCCTGCTTTGGTGGGAGGGCAGAGCCCTGCCTGTTGGAGGCTGTCTTGCTGCTGCTGCTCCCATGTGTGTGGAGACACCCAAAGTGTTTCAAGAACCCAGTGGTTATGGCCGCTCCTCAGTGGGGTCAGTGTCCCTCCATCCTGGGCAGGAATCTGCCTTTTTCTCCCAGCAGTGGCTCCTCCTAGCTTCTTAGTTCTTTGTAATATGTTAATTTGAAGTGACTGATATTGTTGAACTGTGTATTTAAACTGTTGCATTAAAAGCTTTCTTTTGCCCACATCTGTTGTACTTATACCTTTTCAGCTTTGTGGCTGGAACTTCATAATGGTAATAAAAGTTACTGCTTCTGGGGTTTTCATCCATTCACTGAGCAGATGTACTGAAATGTCTGTGTAGGCCAAGCACTGTGTGTAGGGCTAGGTAGATAACAGTGAATAAATAGATACTGTACCTGCTCTCAGAGGGCTGACGTTCTTGGTGGGATGGCAAGAAGCTAATCAGATAACTGGCCAAGTGTGAAGCTGCAGCTGGCTGGAGCACTGTGAAGCAGACATCCGATAGTATTTTAATCTGCCTATGTGGGGAGATGAGCACAGTGGAGGGTAAAGGAGGTAGTTTGTAGTGCGTTTTGTTTTGGTTTTTGAGAAAGGATCTTCAACGTCCAGGCTGTCCTTGAATTCACTGTGTAACCCAGGCTGGCCTCAAACTTGTGGCAAGCCTCCTGCCTCAGCCTCCCAGGTGCTGGGATTACAGATGTGCACCACTACACTCAGCTCATACTGAGTTCTAAAGTGAGAAGTTAGAGCCAGGTATAATGGCGCATGCCTGTGATCCCAGCTACTAAGGAGGCTGAAGCAGGAGGACAGTGAGCTCAAGGCTAAAAGGGGCAACTGAGTCCCTGTCTCAAAATTAAAAACAGAGGGATTGGGGAAGGGGTTAGTTCAGTGCCTTGCCCAGCATGCGCAGTGCCCTGGGTACAATCCTCAAAATGCAGAAGTAAAGCAAATGAACTGGGGAAGAGGGGAGAGCATATGTGAGGACCCTATTTGGAAAGACATGGTAAGGGAAGAGAGGGGCCCAAAAGTGCCATTTATTCATAAAACAGGGCCAGACATGGTGGCGCACGCCTATAATCCAAGCACTCGAGAGGCTGAGGCAGGAGGATCGTTGCGAGTTCAAGACCAGCCTGGGCTGCAAAGTGAGCTCAAGGCCAGCCTGACCTGCATAGCGAGACCCTGTCTCAAAACGACAAAAATAAATTCACAAAATATGGCATAGGATGAGGCTGGGGAGCTTTAGGATGTAGCCAGAAGGTGCTCTCCCTTCCTGAACTGGGTACTAAATTGTTTCCACCTTAATGAAGTAGTTTCATGACTACACAGCAGAGCAGACAGTTTGTATTGTCCCTCTGCTTCCATCAGCACACCCAAGGCCTAGCTCACAACTACACACTCTACCCCTCCCCAAAACAATTCAGACAAACACATGTGATAAGCTTTATTATTCTTACTATCCGTCCATCATCTCCAGACTGTCTGGAGATTAAAATCTGTTTGCCAAGCCAGGCATGGTGGTGCACACCTGTGATAGCAGCACTCTTACAGGCTGACGCCAGCACATCACAGGTTCGAAGCCAACCTGGACAACTCAGTGAGATGCTGTCTTGAAAGGGAAAAGGGCCGGGAATGAGGGGACACGGGATATACTGTAGCAGTGATAGCAAGCGATGGGTACCCGTACTGCAACTCAAGACCCACTTATTTATTGCAGAGAGCCAACACTGCAATTAAACCTCAATACTGAGGTTTTAATTTATAAAAAATTAATACATTAACAACTTTTGTCTTAAGAACAAACGCACGCCATAGGTTCACCACCACTGCACTGTAGCACGAAAGCCCTTGTCTGTCTTCATTACTGCAAAAAAAAAAAAACCTGTTATAGCTTAACATTTCTAGGAAAGAGACAGGTAACTATCAGTGTGATTGTCTCCAGGGCCATGATTTAATTCTGTTACCTCAAGAGAAGGGGGATGATGGCATCTCCTGCAGACTGTGTGGAGTCTCCTAGGCATGTAAGTTTCATCCTTATTCAAATAATGGGCAGCTACTGAAGGACTTGCACGAGGATGAAACTTCAGGTTTTCATTCTGAGGAAGCCATCTCTGCATGACAGAGGACAGGGTGGAAGAGGCCTCCACACATGCAGTGAAGCTAGTGAAAGGCTGTTGCGAAAGTTCAGCTGAGCTTGAACTAAAATGGTGGTAGTGGATTTAGAGAAGTAGCAGGGTTTGAGAGTAGAGGTAAAATTGATAGACTTTATATGGAAGACAAGCGGGAAAGTGAAGCAGTGGCAGTGGGGGTGGGAAAACCTTCAGGTCTTGGCTTTTGGAACAGAATGAGGGTGGAGCCACTTTACTAAGAAAGAACATGAAGAGAAGCAAAAAATCAGGGAGCAGGTATGCTAAGTCATGAGTTTGGATTTAGACATGAGTGGGAAGTGTTAACCAGAGCCAAAAGCAAGTAGGGTGTGAAATCTATGGTTCAGAAGTCTCCAAGAGTGGAATGAGCTGTAGAAAAAATGGAGTCATGGTAGAATAGTACAAATTGATGATGTAGTTCTAAGTTAGCAACGAAGGAGGAGACAGTGGGGAGAGAAAAAGAGAGGCCAAGAATCAGGCCTGAAGAAATGCTGTTCAAATGACATCTAGCTAAATTTTTTCCTGCTCTGTGGGCTCTCTTTTCACTCTTGGTAATTTTTTTTGCAGTGCAAAAGATTTTTAATAGGATGAGATCCCAGTTCTTTGTAGTGTTTCCCGTGCATTCAGGTTTTTGTTCATGAAATCTTTGCCTACACCTATGTCTTCAAGAGTTCTTCCTATTTTATCTTGCAGCAGATTTAGTGTGTGATTTGTTTCTTTGGTTATCTTTTTGAGATTTCAGACTGACCTTAAATTCACTTGGTAGGCCAGGCAGGCCTTAAACTCACAGCAATCCTCCTGCCTCAGCCTCCTGAGTGCTGGGGTGACAAGCTTGTGCCACCCTGCCCAGCTAGTGTTTCTGTTTTAATATTTAGGTCTTTGATTTATTTCAGTTTTAGTTTAGTGCATGGTGAGAGACATGGGTCTAGTTTTAGTCTTTGGCATATGGAAAACCAGTTTTTCCAGCAGCATTTATTAAAGAGGGTATCTTTCTTCCAGTGCGTGTGCTTGGCCCCTTTGTCAAAAATAAGGTGCCTCAGTGTGTTTGGAGTTATTTCTGTATCTTCTAATCTGTTCCATTGATCCTCAGGTCTGGTTGGTTTTTTTGGGATAGGGGTGGTCAGTATCATGCTCTTTTTATCACAGTAGCTTTATAGTATAATTTCAAATCAAGAATCACTGTGGTTCCCCCGCCTTGCCTTTGTTGCCTAGGATTGTTTTTGCTCTGTCACGTCTCTTCCGATTCCAAGTAAATTTTAGGGATGATTTCTCTAGTTCTGTGAGGTATGCTAATGTATTTTGATTGGGATTGCAGTAGATCTGTATAGTGATTTTGGGAGTAGGGCCATTTTCACTAAGTTGGTTCATCCTACCCATGATATCTTTTCATTTTCTGATATCCTCTTCAATCTCCTTTTTCAGAGTACATTTTCAATGTATAGATCTCTTCCTTTGTTAGATTGATTGCTAAGTATGTCATTTTTTTGATGCTATTGCAAAAGATGTCGTTTCCCTAATTTCTCTCAATGAGTTTGTTGTTAGTGGACAGGAATGCTGTTGATTTTTGGGTGTTGACTTTGTATCCAGCTGTGCTACTGAATTTGGTCATAAAATCTAAGTCTTTTGGTAGAGTTTTTGGAATCTTCTATGTAGAGTATCATGTCATCTAAAGAATTAAAAAAAAAAAAAATCAGGCCCTTCAAATTTAAAGACCTAATCCCAAAACACGCATCTGAGATGAATACACACTTCTTAGAGGAAGAAATATAAACAGCAAATATATGAAAAAAATGTTCAGTATCAGTGGTCGTTCAAGAGTTGCAAATTATAACGCCTGAGATTCCACTCCAGAAAGAATGGTTACTATCAAAACATCAACCAATAACAAATTCTGGCAGAGCTGTGGGGAAAAAGGAACCCTATTCCACTGTTGGTGGGAGTGTAGACTGGTGCAACCAGTATGGAAATCACTGTGGAAATTCCTCAGTAAACTAGGATTGAAGATCCTATTTGACCCAGCCATTCCCTTTCTGGTTGTCTTCCCAGAAGAATTAAAAACATCATACTACAGTGATGTATGTGCGCCCATGTTTATAGCAGCACAATTTGTAATAGCTAAATCTTGGACATGACCCAAATGGCTATCAACTGAGGAATGGATAAAAAAGATGTGGTCTTTTCATACAATAGAATACTACTCAGCTATAAAGGATAAACCTGAAACATTTCTAGGTAAATGGATAAACCCTGAGACCATACTCTTAAGTGAAATAAATCGGACACACGTGTAAATATTGTGAAGCTTCTCTGGTGTGAGATACCAAAAGCGTAAATAAGGACCAAAATGTATAAAAGGTATTGTGAAATAGGAAGAAAATGTTCAAAAGAAAGTGGAACTAGGGCCGGTGGAGCGGGGAAGGAAGAAGGGAAAAGAAAAAGTGATAAAAGGTTAAAATGAAAACAAAGCTTTTGCAAATGAGGGCAAGAGGGGTTGAAAGGAGAAGAATGAGGGGAAGAAAAAGAGGAGTCAGACATATCATGTAGAGGTACAAATTCCCTATGATCATGTGATCATTATGTAGAGCTGAAATGTACCAGTAAACAATTAAAAGAAAGAAATGCTGTTCAGCATTTAGGAGGAAGAGGCTGACTCCGTGTAAGCGACAGTGGGTTGGAGGTTGGAGGAGCAGAGAAAGTTTGCAGTAACATTTGTGAAAAAGGAAGAGTTGAAGCAAGAGCAGCACAACCAGGAGGACTCGGTCCAGCTTGTTGCTGGAGAACACGGAGCAGAACCATTGAACTGGGCCGGTCTTCGTCACTGTCCTGTGGCAGCTCAGGTAGCGGGGAGGTCAGAGAGACTGAGGTCTGTGCGCCCCAGTGAGAGGGGAGCTTCGATGTCCTGAAGATCCTTCTGGAGGGGCTCCCCTGTTCCACCAGAGGAAAGGAAACCTGACCCTGAAAAGCTCCCTAACACATCTCTATGAGGGGTTCTTCCTCCATCAGCCCAGCGCTGAATGCTCACCTTAGGGTGTCTGCCGGCCCTGCAGGGTACTCAAGGCAGGTGTCACGCACGTTAGGTGTGGGCTGCGGCTTCAGTCCATTTCTCAGTGCGTGGCATGACGACGCCCACTTAACCATCCCAGCACCCTGTCGATGGGCCACTGTCTCTAGTTCAGGACCGTTACAGTCCGCCTCCATTCCTGACTCTTCTGTTCTAGTGCACACACCCTCTGTGCACTGAAAGGACTGGTGAGGGGTTCTGTTCCTTACAGCCACAGCCCAGCTCTGTCAAGTCTAACCTCCGCGCTGCCCCCACCTCCCTCAGAAAGAGGACAGCCTCCTGGAGGCAGGCAGATTTTGCAGTACTTTTAATGCACAAAACAAAAGAGGCCGGCTAAGTGACCAGCTTCATTCCACATCAGAGCTCAAGTACAGACACAGACTGATCGGGAAATAAGTTACAGTTCACAGTGCCTTAGAGCTGAGAGCAGGAAATGCTGTTCTACTGGCAGCCACGTGAGCAAGGATTTTCTGACGACGAAAGGGGGAAAAGAAATGCTTCTGAAGTTCTGCAGGAACCCAGTCTTCAGGAAAGAAGGTGAAGTGGCTGAGGGCAGCACGGAGCCAGGCGATGCTCAGGTGAAGTCCAGCCTGCTCCGTGTGAAGCCAGGCGGGGCAGCTGGCGCAAATGCCGCCTCTTTCTGCACCATTCCCCTCACACAGTGCATCATCTCTGTGATCCCCTCAGCTTCCTCAGACGCCTTGCCGCTCCAGATAAAGCCAGCCAGCGATACAAGACAGTGAGTTTCTGCAAGTCAGCCTCTGCCCATTTTCCTCCGACTTCTCCTGGGCTCAGCTGCTGTCACTGTGCTTCCCGCCCTCACCCAGCCTTTTCAGTGCATGTATGCCTTCGGCTGCTCCAGGGCCTGGTGTGCCTGCAGCACCGCCACTGCCTCTTCTATCTGTGGGACACACGTCAGAGCAGTTTAGCACAGCTGCCCCGGCAGGCTCCCAGAAGAACCATGACTTCCCCCTGACTCAGCATGCAAGATACGCGCAGTCTTTGCCTTTCGTAGAGATTCCTGCAGCATCTGTGTGGTGCCCTCATCCACTGCTCCTTACGTGATCCCACGCCCCAGTGTCACTTCCTCAAATTAGAGGTTCACTGCTAGAGATCAGAAGAATCTCAATCTTTACACTGAGTCAGAACACAGCTTCTTTTACCAACACCTTGTCTATGGAGTGACCCAGAATTAGTCTGTGGACAGGCTGAAATAGCAAAGCCTCTGCCACTCTAAGATGGAGCAGGTCTTGGGGTATTACTACAAGCAAGATCAACTTCACTTGTCCTAGCATGTCTAGGACAGCCCGTCCTTAGGTCTTCCGCTGCTCTACCTACCTTAGCTTGGAGGGACTCCGGAGATTCCAGCATGAGCAGCAGCTCTGAATTGTCGATCTCCAGCAGCATGCCTGTGATCTTGCCAGCCAGTGCAGCATAAACCTCAGGGATAAGATGATAGAGACGCTCCCCTGTGTGGAACAACCCCTGATTGCTATGCACACATCTGGCTCACACCCCAGCAACCCAGGAGTGGCACCATGGAGAGCAGGGAGGACAGGTGGGTTCTTGTCCCGGAACTGCTCCTTCCAGGCTGTGTCACTAAACCTTACTGGGGACTTCTTTTCCTGATTAGAAATTGGGCAGAGCAAACCCCACTTCAAGGATGGTTTGAAGAGGGGCTGGGGATTTAGCTCAGTGGCAAAAGCGCCTGCCTGGCAAGCGCAAGGTCGTGAGTTCGGTTCCCGGTACCGGAGAAAAACCACAAAAAAACAAAAAAACAAAAAGGATGGTTTGAAGAAATTTGATAATATATGTGAAGTAATTATAGCATGGGGTCTGACACAAAATTGTTATTTAAAGACTACTCTTGTGTACAAGCACAATCGTGTATGCCTGTAATCCCCAGTACTGGGAGCTGAGACCAGAAGATGGTAAGTTTGAGACCAGCCTGCACAACATGACAAGATCTCATCTTGAATAAAAAAACAAGTATGGTGAGCACAGTATTTTTTTTTTTAAAGACTATTCATGTTCATTTTGCAAAAAAATAATTCTGACATTCATTCTAGACAGGATATGGTAATACTGAACTTGAGACTTTTCAGGGAGGAGGCAGTGAGAAATAGAGAACAAACTCACATTCTTCAAATGTGAAGTATTTCTAGCAGCAAGGCCTCTTGTTGGTGCCAATCCACCTTGGCAGTGTGTGGAGGGTTCAGCCAGGATCAAGGCCTTAAATCTGGAGTGTGAGGGGTCTTCCCATGAGGAGAGTGGCAGTGTTTACAGGAACTGCTAACAAAGCTTTCTACCTTTGTTAGGCTCCTTAAATAAAGGTGGGGTGGGATGTGAAGAAAAACCCTAACAAAGCAAGCTGAGGAAATGATGTGGTGCCAGTAAGGGCCCTCACGGAAGGGCCTGGAGATCTTGGTGGCCACGTAGTAAAGAAGCTGAAGAAGAGGAACGAGCCTGCTCATTTATTCAGTTAGCATCTTTAGCAAGACTGTCTCAGACTCTGGGGTCGGAGGTGATCTGCACAAGGAATTCAGAGACCAATGAGAACCTCCTGTACTTACCCAGTGCACAGCTGTTTCTCACTACCCAAGACAGATGAAACTTGGCAAAGCTTCCTCTGGTTGGAAGAGGTGTGAAGACCTGTAATACCCAACTCCAGCATACCCTTACTGTGCTGCCTGGCCCTGATGGCCCCACATCCAGGGGTCTCACACCGATGTCAGAATCACAGAACGGCAGAGCCGGAAAGAGCCTTAGGACGTTTAGTCTGACCAATGTTTTAAGACAAGAGAACAGGAGCCTAGAGCGTCAAGGTGGCTTGGGTAAGGTCACCCAATAGCTTCATCAATGACAAAAACCAAGCTTCATCTTCACATCTGACCTTACTTAGGGTGTTCCCTGGCCAGCAGAGGGATCACTCACCAATCATCTGCTTCTGCTCATGGAGCGGCGCTGCAGCCAGCATGGACGCGGTCAGGGGCTCCTGGCCAGGGACGTGCACGGCGGGCTCCTGGACCTGCAAGTGGTGTGAGGGACACATCCTTTAACCTCACGGATGGGAACGGTCTCCAAACACTTACCCGTTAGGTAAACACAGGCCTTCAGGAAGGCTCTGGAAGAGGGGACTGGGGTATAAAGTCCCTACCAAGGGCACATGTATTAGAAGTTAAAAATATGCTCTAAGCTAGACATTCTGTGAGCCCACAAAGACCCTGATGAGCATTGTCAAATGAAACCCAGGCATCACTAATCACTTTGTACCAAACAAAGCACTTTATCGGGTAGCTTCGTGGAAATATCCCCAGCACACCTCTGACCCTTTCACATCTTAGTAACTTCAAAAGTGTTTCAGCTGCTTAAAAATTACTCTTGTCCATTTTGCAAGAAACAATCAAACTAGACACACTGAAATTCTAGATAATGCTGAATTTGAGACCATTTCTTTAAGACAAGGAGACACAGTCTTTCATTTAATTGTAAGACATTTTTAGTTCTGTTTTGAAGCCTAATTACATCCTATCACTACTCACCATATTTTTTCTTTTTTTCTTTTTTTTTTGGAGACAGGGTTTCACTATGCAGTTCAGGCTGGCCTTGAACTCACTATGTAGCCCAGGCCGGCCTCAAACTTACAGCAATCCTCCTGCTTCAGCCTCCCAAGTGCTGAGATTATAGGCATGCGCCACCACGGCCAGCATGCATATTCTTAGAATACCTTTCCTCGCTGCTCAACAGAAATACTAAGGAAAAACAAATTAATTTTGGTAATAACCTAGGCAAAATAATTCATAATTAGTAAACAAATTATAACCCTGGCCTGTCTTCCTCTTCTGTTAGTACGGTTGATAGTTCATGATTGTACACGTTAGTAAGGAAACTTTACAAGCTAAGAAAAGAAAGAAAACCAAGGACCCAAAAAGCTAACACCTTAGGCAAGTTTCTGAGCCGGGACTTCCAGAGCCCACACTTAGCAGCCATCCTTACCCCATGGGCCATTTGTACAGGTGAGGAACACGTGCATGGCAGGAGAGATGGCGCTTCTGTAGCGCATGCTGTTCTGCCCATAGTCTGGGTACCAATGTTGGCTATAAAAAATAAGCAGAGTTTAGTGGCTGCTATCAAAAATACAAAACAAAATAACAAGTATAGGGGCTGGGGATTTAGCTCAGTGGCAAAAGCGCCTGCCTGGCAAGCGCAAGGTCGTGAGTTCGGTTCCTGGTACCGGAGAAAAACCAAAAAAAAAAAAAAAAACAAAATAACAAGTATAGCTTAGAAGAGAAAGAAACTGACACACGAGCACTGACAGCAGAAATGTAAATGGTGTAGCCACTACAGGAAAAAAATTACGAGCCTTCGGAAAGGAAGGAGATTTTAACTCACGCTAGAGCGTGTGTGAATCTTGCCGACATTGTGGCACATGAAATAAGCCAGCCACAAACAGACAAGTACTGTATCATTTATTTATATAAAGTACCTAGTATAGTTACATTCACAGAAACAAAGTAGAAGGGTGGTTACCAGGGGCTGGAGGGAATTTAAGGGGTACAGAATTTCAGTTCTGCAAGACAAAAGATGTTTTCAAGTGAAGGTTTGTATAGCAGTGTGAACGTACTAAATGTCAGTGAAGGGGCTGGGGATTTAGCTCAGCAGCACAGCGCCTGCCTGGCAAGTGTGACATTGTGAGTTCAATTCCCAGTACCAGGAAAAAAAAAATGTCACTGAATTAGTACATTTAAAAATGGTTAAGTGGTGAATTTTATGTGTATTTTGCCAAAATTTAAAGAAATAAATAACCAGGAGTATCAGAACCTGAAGCCGTCTCCTATCAGGGATTGTACCTAACTCACTCGTGTGTAATTCCCAGTGCCAAGCACAGAGTAGCACAAAGACGTGAGAACATCTGCTGAATGAGGGGACAGATGTGCTTGCCTTTGAGCCAAAATCTACACCCTTGGTCACAGCTGCTGTAATACTTCCTAAGGTTCACATCCTTGCATGTGTGATCTCAAAAATTCTCATAATGAAATGACTGCCCCATTTTATCACTATTTTAAAGAATAGGTGATCAGAAATAAGTTGACAGAGTGGGTGAATCTCAGGAGCCAGAGGGCAAGCCAACTTCTACACTACACTCATAGCCTCCAAAGTCAAGCTGGCTCACCAAGAAGGCAAGTCACTACGAAGGCTGGCCCTGACTCCCCTCCAGGGGCAACCCCAGCACCAAGACCTTGCCCCACGCTCCTCTGATTCCCACTCCTCTTGCCCTGCCCATACTCACCCACTCTCTTGGTGTGAGATGCCAGGAAGGGCACCTGGGTAGAGGCCTGCCTGACGCTGCTGACATGGACGCGGGGGCGCCGGGGCAAGCCTGGTGGCCGGACCACTGAGCCAGCTGGAGGGCAGACAGCTTGTGGCACAGAGAAAAATGGACAGAGAAAGGTTGGTGGCGGAGGTAGTCCGAGTGGCAAAATACCCTGAAGGTTCCAGGGCTGGGAAGGGTAACTAGAAATTCATGGCAGAGAGAAGGGTGAATTCAGCTGCGGAGGGCATGGAAATCTACAATAACAACTAAGCCAGTTCATGTCTACCCAGAGTCCCAAGATGCATAAGAACTATGACCACACACTTAGTCCCAAGACAGTTATAAATGAGTTTGAACTTGGCTTTTAAAGAGAAAGGCCATTCATCACACTATAACCAGAGGAGTTTCAGTTTTTCAGCTTTGCAAGACTTTTCAGTCGTAGATCAGAAAAGTCTTTGGAAATACATATAATGGCCATCCCACCTGCCTGACAGGCTTGGCCCTGTGCCTGGTGCTGTACGCACATCTCCCTCAGGCCCAGGATAAGGGGAAACTGTGGCTCAGGCGAAGTGACCCGCTCAGGAGATGGCAGAGCCATGCTTGGACCCTGTGTGACACATTGCCTCTCAGAGCACACACTCGCAGGCCGGGCTGAGGGTAGAAGGGGCTGGGTCACTCACACGAAGCTCTCTGGGGCTGGGCTGTCCACCTGGGGGGAGGCTGGACGGGGGCCACGGAGCCAGAGCCGCTATAGCACGCAGGCTGGGCTGGAGGCTGTGTGGGAGAGGAGGACCACGGAATGAGGGCCTCTGCAACAAGCTAGGTAAGGAACTGCACTCCCTCAGAGACGGCGCTGCAAGACTCCACTCTCCCCTCCAGGGCACAGGCTAGCAAAGGCCTACAAAGCTGGCATGCAGGCTCCTTCCTCACATCTCAGGGTGCCCATTAGCCCTGAACCCTTCAGGGTGATGTCAGACTTCAATCCTAGCTCCTTATCTGGCCTAGTCCAATGGCCTAGATTAAGAAGGTGACATCCTACTCTAGTGTGTGCCAACCCCAGCAACTGCTAAAGCGGAGGGAAGACTACCAAGCCAGCAGCCTTCGGTGGCTCACACTTCCCCAAGCCATGCTCCTCTGACACTAACAGCCAAGGGAGGTGCTGAGGGGCATCCCCCCAAAATGACCATCTCAGTTAGGGAAACTCCACACACTGTATGTCTGTTGAGATCAATCATCATAAATACTGGTATATTAGCAGAGGGCAATTGATATAGTAAAGAAATTCAAGATTCCTTTTGTTTAATGCAAAATCTCCCAAACTTCTTTGACCACACTCTTTTTCTATACATCTCCCTCAGACTAGACGGTGCTGTGTGACAGCAGCACACTACCCTTCTCCTTACAGATGGGGACGCTGAGGCTCGAACAGCCTGTCGAGTGACTTTCAGCACTGCCTACTTTAGCCTGGGAAGCTCCCACCTCCCTGCTGTAGGGAGCTGTCTGGAGGAGGTGGGTGGGAGCTATGGGCAGACTGTCACCTGGGGCACAGCAGGCAGGAAGTAGCTGTTGGGCTGCTGGAAGGAGCCCAAGACAGGGCGGCCCAAGGCCTGCACTGTGGAGAGGCGCTGCATGTACTGGTTAGTCAAGATGGCCTTCCGCTCCTCTTTGCGCTGGGCCAATGCCACATACAGCGGCTTGGTGCCCACGATACACCCGTTCATCTCTGTCACAGCCTTTGTCGCCTCTTCTGGAGAGGAAAAACACACAAAGCCAAATCCCTTGCTGTGGCCACCCTCTGTCATCACCTAAAAGCAAGACAAGACAAGGGTTGCTGGGGGCGGGGAAGGAAGCGCCAGGCCTGTGCTCCCCTCCTTCCTCAGGACTGAACCCCACAGCTAGCAGACCCATGAAACATCCACGACTGGGACAACTGTCCACTCCAAGTGTCCTGAGGCCTACTGCGTGCCGGACACTTTACACGCCATTCGGCTCACACACAGCCTCCGTCTAAGGGAAGCACATTGGCCCCTACTTTCTCGGGGAGGGACAGGAGATTCAAGAGTAACTTGTCCACCAGGTGGAGGGGTGCACACTCAGAATCCCAGCACTCAAGGCTAAAGCAGACAGACTGCCACAAGTTTAAGGCCAACTCAAGCTATGTAGTGAATTCAAGGCCAGCAGGAACCACATAGCGAGACCTTGTCTCAAAAAAAAAAAAAAAAAGTGACTTATACACAATCACCAGGGGCTCATACACAGCCAGCACTCAGCACACGTCTGCTAACCTCACTGCTTCTGCAAGGCCTGTGCCAGAGTCTTTAGGAGTCTGTTCTCAGCCTTTGTATTAAAGTAACATTATTACCGGAAGTAACTTTAAACTTACAGAAACATTACAAAAACAGTACAGAGAGCTGCTGTATCTCTTCTACCCAGCCTCCCCTGATGTTAGCATGGTACAGTCGTCAAAACTACAACATTAAGCAACACCAGGGTGCCCGGCATGGTAGTGCATGCCCGTAATCCCAGCACTCGGGAGGCTGAGGCAGAAGGATTGCTGTGAGTTCGAGGCCAGCCTGGCCTACAAAGTGAGTTCAGTGCCAGCCTGAGCTACATAATGAGACCCTGTCTCAAAAAAAACAACAAAAAATATTCTTAAAGGGTTCCACAGTCTTACCAGATAGCCAAAGAAGTTCTGACACAAAAATATTGTTAAGAACTTCTATTAAGAACTGTTAGTACGTGCCAGGCATGCTGGTACACATCTGTAGTCCTAGCACTCTAGAAGTCTGAGGCAGGAGGACAGCAAGTTTAAACACGGTCTGGGCAATTTAGCAAGACCCTGTCCAAAGTAAAAAAATAACAAAGGGACTGGGGATGTATCTCAGCAGAAGGCTGTGATTCAATCCCTGGTATAAAAAAAAGATAATAAAATTAGTAAAGATAACACTTACACAGAACTTAATCTGAGCTTGCTAGTGGTGTATAATAGTTGATTTATAATAAAAAAGGCCCAGGGATATAGTTCAGTGGCACCAGTGCCTGCCTGGCAAGCGCAAGGTCCTGAGTTTGATTCCTAGTACCAAAAAAAGTAGAATAAAATAAAATGATGTCCTTATTAAAGAAAAATATATAATAGAAAATATATAAAATTCCCATCTTATTACATGGCGGCCTATTAAAAGGATGATCACTCCCGGTGTGCCTCAACTCTGAGCAATCCAAACTTATACCATCCCTTCATTCAAGGAACCTCGAGGTCAGTTAGTCTCCTGACATTATATGCACTGTGTGGCAAACAATCACAACAACCAACATTCCAACACTTATGATACGCAGATGCTCCATAGGCGGCCTGCTGAGTGTTGTTTCCATGGCCCAGGTAGGTACACAGAAAGACTGTCATTGCCTCGGGTTCTAAGCTAGGAAACGGTGCACCTGGGATTTAGATCAACTCAAAGGTATCAGCTTTCAACCACAGTACTATGCCGTATGCATGCACTTACTGGGAAAGAGGGCCTGTGGACGTTTTATCGTGCCAAATCAAATTTACTCAGTCCTACAGCTTTCTGTCATATCTGTCAAAAGGCCCACAACCCAAAAAGCGTAAGTGTTTTCACAAGCACTGGGCTTCCTGCAGCAAGTTGAAGATTCAACAGATAAAAGAACTTCCTGACCACTTCTTAAGAGCCCAACCATCGCATCACATGCTGGTCCTCAGACCTGTCTATCACCCGCACAGATCTCTTTGGAAGATACCTCAGTCCTACCCGTGGCTCCCTACGTCCTTACAGCTAAGTCAAACCCTGGCACCACTCACACTTCCTCCAGGAGGCCTCCCCTCCTGTCCCACTGAGATCCTGAAGCTCCACCTCCAGTCCTGCCCCATCCCCATCTTAAAATACAGGAGTTAGCAATGGTCTGACTTCTTCAGTAGACTATAAGCTCCTCAAAGGTAGGGACCACATCCAGCTTATTTGATTCATTCTTATAAGCTTCCTACAGAGCCTTGTACAGAATGAATAAACATTCACAGTCATCTGTTTTATTTTTGTTTGGTTTTTTGTGGCACTGAGGATGGAGCCCATGCTGGCCAAACACTCTACCATTAAGCTTCAACCTAGTCTTTCTGGCTCTACCACTGAGCTACATCCCCAGCCTTTTAATTTTGAGAAAGGGTCTCACAAAGCTGCCCAGGCTGGCTTCAGACTCTTGATCTTCCTGCCTCAGCCTTCCAAGTAACTGGGATTACAGGCATGTGCCACAGCACCTGACATATTACATCATCTTAAAATCATCTGGGGAATTTTTATTTTGTTTGTTTTTGAGATAGGGTCTCACTCTGTAGTCCAGGCTGGCCTTGAATTCACTCTGTAGCCTAGGCTGGCCTCAAACTCACGGCAATGCTCTTGCCTCAGTCTTCCAAGTGCTGGGATTACAGCTGTGTGCCATCACACCTGGCATCTGGGGAATTTTTAAAGGAAAGTGCCTGGGCCCTACCCCTAGAGGTCTACATTTGGACTCAGGCAACCCATACTGAAGAAGTCCCAAGGTGATTCAGATGAGAAGCCAGGGTTGGGAATCACACAGTGAGCACTCTTAATTTTACTGGTGAGGCTCATGAGACTGCTCAAGGTCTTGAGCTACAGAGTAGAAGGGCCAGGTGTTGCACCCCAGGTGCCTCACAGGGTTGAACACAGAGCTGGTGCTCCAGAAGTGGTGAAGAATGATGCAGCCCAGCTCTCATTTTTCAGAAGGGGAAAGTGAGGCCTACAAGGGCTTATGTCACTGGGCAGGGCCGGACAACAAAAGTCCACAGAAATACTGAGACATAAGTGTCTGAAACCTAGCATACAGTGGACGCCAGCCTATGTGTCTTCTTTCTTCCCCTGCAACCAGACAAAGCTGCAGACAGACTCTGAGCTCTCATGCGGTCACACAGAGCCCTTCCCCAGATGCCAGGTGTGATGGCACACAGCTGTAATCCCAGCACCCACTTCCTGGAAGCCAGATGAGAGGCTGGTGGGGACAGAGGGAGAATGAATGAAAGCCTACCCCAGGAGCTGCTGCGGCCCTCACCTTTGCACTGGTAATCACTCCGTAGGGAGAGAACACTGTCCTCAGCTTCTCGTCACTGATGGAGTCATCCAGGTTCTTCACATACAGGTTCACACCCTGTAGGAAGGGAATACTGTTCCACGGACACATCCCCACAAGCCCCAGACTGCCTTGGGGAGGGGAGGGGCTCATGGCCAGAAGGGACACTGAGCACGCTGCCAGCCCAGCCCTGGGCTGCACCCCAATCTCTCTGTATACTGACAGCTGGAAGCTGCAGCTCATGGCCCCCAAAGCCTCTGGCAGTTTTCATACACCTGCACAGCTCCCAGCCTCTGCAGATATCACAGATGAGAGCCATAGAAAGAGACTTAAGTCCCACAGCAGGCTGAGCTCAGCTGGAACACAGCTCTCCTGAAGGGACAGCAGCATGGAGCCGTGCAGAGGCTCTCGCAGGCCGGCTCCAGACCTGACACCGAATGTAGGTGAGCTGCCCCTCACCACCTCACACGTTTCCCTTACCTGGAACTAGGGACCACTCCAAGCTCTTGCACACATTTTAATGTGTAATCCTCAGGACAACCGTAAGAGAAGGAAATACTAATCCTCATTTTACAGATGGCGAAACTGAAGAACATGTTAAGTGCTCTGTCTCAGATCAAACAGACAGCAAGTGGCAGAGGGACAACCGACCCAGGCAGCCTGACCTCAGAGCTCGAGTTCCTCGCCACTGAATGATGGCTGCCTCTGGGACCCAGATGTCCTCCTCCCTGACCTCCCAACCACAAAAGCTTGTGAACATACAACAGAATTTAGACTACACAACTAGACAATATCCTGCTCACTCTGACTACATGCTGAATACTTTCTTCTGTAAGTCTACAAAACCTAAAAATGTTATATATGTACAATGATGTGTTTGTGTGTACACACAAGGATTTGTCAAGCTCAGCATTAGTGACATTTCGTGTCACTCCTACTGTACAGCTTGTTTTATGCATAAGATATCTGCCAGCATCCCTGGCCTCTACCCAGGAGATGCCATGTGCACCTTACCCCTTAAATGTGACAACTGAAAATTCCAGGCACTGTCAGATATCCTGGGGTAGGAAGACTCTCCCTCACTGGGAAGTACTGAGTGTGGTTATATGTGTATGGGTATATGCATACATAGAGTGTGTGCACATACACAATAGGGTATACACACAACCCTCTCTGTGAGGGATCTACAACTTTTTTTTTTTGTACCAGGAATTGAACTCATGACCTCACACTTGCCAGGCAGTTGCTGTGCTACTGAGTTACATCCCCAGCCCAGGATCTACAACTTTTATCTTTTTTTTTTTTTTGATTTGTTTGACTTGGTTTGTTTTTTTCAAAGATCTCACTGTGTAGTCCAGGCTACCCTTGAACTCATTACATAGCTTCAACTGGCCTCAAATCCACATTCCTACTGCCTGAGCCTTCTGAGTGCTGGGATTACAGGTATGCACAACATGCTCAGCCTATAGATTTTATTAGAAGTTTTAGAGGTGTTTATTTCATCTACAATATTAATTTTAATCCAATTTATTAAATATATATATATATTGTGTGTGTGTGTGTCTCTTTGAGACAAGGTCTCACTATGCAGTTCAGGCTGGCTTTGAGCTCACTTTGTAGCCCAGGCTGGTCTCGAACTCACAACGATCCTCCTCCCTCAGCCTCCTGAGTGCTGGGATTACAGGCATGCACCACCACGCCTGGCTAATATAACTTTAATGACCACAAAATTGTGACATTTTGGGGCTGGGGATTTAGCTCAGCGGCAAAGCGTCTGCCTGGCAAGCGCAAGGTCATGAGTTCGGTTCCCAGTACCGGAGAAAAACCAAAAAAAAAAAAAAAAATTGTGACATTTGGCTGTAACATATGTGGCCTAGTTATTCGGTACCTGGAGTAGGATTTCTTGTGGGGGCATTTAGAAATGTGTAAGGCACTTTGGTTTTCCAAGACTGCAGGATGTAACAGGTATTGAGTGGGCAGAGTCAAGGGATGCTAACCAGTCCCACACAAAGGGTTATTCCAACTGTGAGGTAAGTAGCAATCTAAACAATCCCCTATCTCATGGTTGGGTAGTCTCTGGCCACTCCACTTTTACAAGCCAGGCAGTGGAGACCACCCCCGTGTTCATGATTCCCGCCCCTAGCCAAGTTCCCGAAGTAGGATGGCTAGCGGAAGCAGTCACAGTCGGGAACCCCCTAAACACAGCCACTTTCATAGAGACGTGGCCACCACCAGGAGTCCTGAGCGACCTTACCTGGTAGCGGGTCTGCCGGTCCTGCTTCAGCTGCTCGAACCTGCGCTTCAGTTCATTTTGCCGCTCTGCTCGCTTCTGGGCCCGGCCCACATACAGCTGCTGCCCGCTCACCTCCTTTCCGTTCATGTGGTCCACAGCCTGCGGTGGGACAAAGCATGCTTGGCAACCACCCAAGGAAGACCCTGGCCTCCAGTCCTGCCTTCTGGGCCCTGAGAGGCCCCTGCAAACCAGCCTGGCCTTGCTAATTGGGAATAAATAGCACCAAGATAACAGCCATTTAAAGAGCATCCACATCTTAAAAACACGGAACCGAGTTCCAGGGTGAGCTACACTGGTGGGTAGGGGCTGGGGAATGAACCCAGGGCCTTCACATGGGACTCCATGTATATCCCCAGCCCTTTTTATTTTGTATTTTCAGACAGAGTCTCAGTAAGTTGCCCAGGCAGGACTCAAACTTTCCATCCCCTTGCCTTAGCCTTCAGAGTACTAGGAATGGAGGTGTGTGCCACCACACTTGACTGCGAGTTTTTGCTTTTTAAAGACAGGGTCTCAAATCAGGAGTGGTGGCACATGCCTGTAACCCCAGCACTCGGGAGGTGAGGCAGGACGACTGAAGTGAGTTTGAGGTCAGCCTGGGCTACATAGTGAGGCCCTGTCTTTTTTGTTTTGTTTTGTTTTGTTTGAGACAGGGTCTCACTAAACTGCTGAGGCAGAGCTCACACTCCAGATTCCCCTCCCTCAGTGTCCCAAGTAGGTGGGATGATACGCATTCACTACCATACCTAGCTAAACTATAAAATTTTAAAATTTGAAAAAAAAATTGATTAGAACTCTATTTTAAAAACACAGAGTTGAAAGTTGCAGTCTCCCATGTTTGTAATTTAAATATTTTCAATATATTTAAATATTCCCATATTTAAAACATATTAATCAGTGAAAGAGGCCAATCTGTGAGGCTGTGTATTATTTGATTCCATCTACATGACATCATAGAAAAGGTAGAGTATGAAGCCAGTGAAACAATCAGTTGTGGGCAGCAGTTAGGGGATAAGGAAAGATGAACAGGCAGAACACAGACTTCTAGGGCACTAAAAACAGTACATATTCTGTGTGACACTGAAACAGTATAACATGTCCCCATACATTTGTCCAAACCCATAGAACATGCAGTGACGATAATGAACCCTAGTTTAAACAGTAGCCTCGGGGTGAGAAGGATGTGTCGAAGTAGGTTTATCAGTTGTAAGAAATGGATCACTCTTGCTGGGTGTGGTGGTACATGCCTGTAATCCCAGCACTCGGGAGGCTGAGGCAGGAGGATCATTGTAAGTTTGAGACCATCCTGGGCTAAAAAGTGAGCTCAAGGCCAACCTGAACTGAATAGCGAGACCATGTCTCAAAAATACAAAAAAGAAAAGAAAAGGAAAGAAAAGGACCACTCTGCTGGAAGAAGTTGGTAATGGGAGAGGCTGTGCATATGTAGAAGGAGGTTTATAGAGTATCTTTGCCTCCCACTCCATTTTATTGTGAACCTAAAACTGCTCTAAGAAAATAGTATATTACAAAATAAGTTTAGGTCCTTACTGCAACTATACATGGATAACTGGAACAAAATAGCAAGCATAATTCTTTCAAAAATGGCATGATAATATCAACGTCCTTCCCTTCATGTTGTATTTCACAGCACAAAAGAATCCCTTTTGCTAACTACAAGGGCTTTCTCTTATTGAAAGAATTGTGTCTTAAGCACCATTGATTTTTCTTTTCTTCAGTTAACTGGCCTAACCCTGCTAGATCCAAAGTTTGCACAAAATTCTGCATCTTCTACAGATGTGCAACTTCGCTTTGTAATCCACTTACACCAAGCTGAATTTTCATTGGCTTAGCCCCCCCACACACACACACACACACACACACACACACACACAAAATCAGCAAAAGTCAGGTCCAAATGTATAATGGACCAGAGGTTAGGATTTTACACTGGTATTAATGAAAATTGTGTGCAACTGCTATTTTAATCAGTTAGTTCATTAGTAAATGCTTACATATGACTTTTGCTTCCCTGTCTGAATTTTCAACTTTTGAACATCAAAGCTGAGAGGTAACCAAGGAAGAATAAAACCTTTCCCCTTTACACCATGGCCTGGAAGGGCCCTGCCTATGTGTGGGACTCTCCCACTCCTCTTAGCCTAGGAAGAGGGGGATGTCCTTCCCCTCCCTGAGCAGCTGGGGCCCCCTGAGCCTGATCTCCCTTCCTCCTAGTCCTGGCTTGTTGCCTCTTCCTTGGAACAGGACTACGGGGAGGTGCCTACCTTCTGGGCTTCCTCATGCTTCTCAAAGTTAATGAAACCAAAGCCCCGGGAGTGGCCACCGTTGTCCCGCATCACCTTCACACTCAGCATGTTTCCTGGAAAGGACCAACCCGGCTCAGAGGGGAGTTGGAGAAGCCCCAGGACATTCCCTCCCTTACCACAAACTCTCAGGAAGTCCAGACCTGGGCTGGGAAGAGGAACAACAGGCTCCCCCTGCTCCCGAGGAGAACTTGCTCACCAAACTCCAAGAAGAGGTCCTGCAGGCCCTGCTCGTCCATGTCCACATGGAGATTCTTCACATAGATGTTGGTGAACTCCAGGGCCTGAGCCCCTTGCTCTGCCTCCCGTTCCCGCTGGGATTTGAAGTGGCCAACGAAACTGTAGACATACCAACAGGGTAGGCAGCTGCCAGCCCTCAGCCACCCCTCACCCAACCCCCACCACCCAGCCTGCACCCTGGGCAACTCAGGGACCAAACGCTGTCCATGTCCCCTTAGCAGGAGTCTGGCAGGGCTGTACGCTAAAGACTGAGTATGTCTAAGACCCAGCTACCTCAAACAGCCAAGAAAGTGTGTTCCAGAACTTGTCCCTCCTTTGAGGCTCAGAATACTTCATTCGTGTGACAAATGTACACAGAACAACTACCACATACCAGGCAGCTAAGAGCACAGAGGATATGAGCATAAACTTGACATTCAAACAAAAGCTTAAATCCTTACTCTGTAATTCCTCACTGTGTGACTGTGAGCAAGTTACTTAACTTCTCTGAACCTCAGCATCATTCCTATAAAACTGGGGTTGAACTCACGTCATGAGACTTTTCCTATTCGTTTAACACATACATTCCTTTAACACATATTTGAGAAGCAGGGGTAAGTGAATCAGACACAGTCAATACCAGTATCACTGTATGGGAATGTCTGAAATCATAAATACAACAATAATTTAAAAACACATCTAGGAAAAGATTGTATTTTTAAAGAGATGGGATCTCACTATGTTGCCTCAGCTGACCTCAAACTCCTGAGCTCAAGTGATCCTCCTGACTCAGCCTATCAAGTAGCTGGGACTAAGGTAGTATCATCATGCCTGGGAGGAAATTAGCTTGATTAAAGAGGGAAAAAAATTAAGCATAGAAATTTCTAGTGGTATCTATAGCATATTTCACATGAGCAAGTTGTTCCAGGCACTAAAATTTGAAGAAAACCAAGTGGCAGAGGTAACTGGATGGTTGCTAACAAAAATGATATCTTTCTGGAAACTGGAAAAAGCCCACCCAGATTCAGTGTGACAGACTGAAAAGACCCCCCACCCCAGTGCATCTCACAGCACAAAGCCACCTCCGCTCCACAGTACTGACCACAAGGCTATGCCACCAGACAGGGACCAACAGAACCAGGGGAAAGGACCAGCCAGAAGTAGGTCCTCCCCAGCACCTGCATCTCAATTTTCCCCTCTGTGAAGTGGAAAGACACTGGACTTGGGCAGGCTAAGCACATGCCTAATTTTCTTTCTGCCCCAAAATCCCACAAAAACAACACGTGAGGTTTAAGAAAGAAAATTCACAGCCTTATTGAAAAGACTGAAAAAAACAGATGGAATCGCTGAGTTCAGCAACGACTTGGCCATTACTGAGAATTTCAAAATCCTCAATTCTCACTCAGAACAATCTTCTAGGGGCCAGGGATACAGCTCAGTGGCACAGCGTCTACCTGGCAAGCGCAAGGTCCTGAGTTCAACTCCCAGTACAAAAAAAAAAAGCTCAATCTTAGAACAACCTTCTAGTAAGTATCATCAGTTTCTGCTTTATGTGAGCAAAGAGTCCCTGAAAGGATGAGCAATTCATCTGAAGTCACATTTCAAGGAGAAAGATTGCTGCCCGGTATCCAGTGCCCATCAGACTGCAGAAGACATTGCTCTTAACTGGTGATGCCATGATTCTGTCCCTTCGGGCTCGGCCCCTCCCCCAGGCCCAGCCACTCACACTTTGCGGTCATTCAGCAGCATCCCATTCATGGTGCTGATGGCCTGCTGCGCAGCCTCGTTGGTCTCAAAATGCACAAAGCCAAAGCCCCGCGAGCCATGTTCATTACACGCCACCTGGGCATGGAGGGAGAAACAGAGAACATGCAGCGGGGGATTCAGGGAGAAAATGATGGCAGTGGTGATAACGACCAGTCGCTGTGCTTGCTACCTTACACGTAAAAGACAGTCCCGTTGAGGGTCAGCAGTGTAGCTTAGAAGTAGAGCATTTGGCTAGCATGCACAAGACCCTGGGTTCCATCTCTGGTACTGCAGGAAGAAGGGAGGAGAGGGGAGGAAAGGGGAAGGGAGGAGGAGGGAGAGAAAAGAAAAGGAAAAGAAAAGACAATCCTACATCACACAACAGTCCATTCTAGAGATGGGAAACTGCAGCTCAGACATGAAGAACACAGAAAGCACAGGACCTCTGAAAGAGCACAGGTTTCGTCCATACCACACCACAGCTTCACCTGTCTCAGACAATGGACAGAGCATTACTTCAGACCTCCAGACCCGAATCCTGTTTCTAACAGCAGACTGCGAACACCCTGAGCATCCACCCATCAGGAGAGGACTGGTTAAAGAAATTACAGTTCGTTCACACCAGGTCACCATAGGCATACCACTGGAGAGCATGGGACAGATTACACCACTGACAAGTTATCTGCAAGATATAGTATTAGCAGAAAAAAGACATCTTGCCATTTGGGTTAAAGGTATCTATATATGGGAAGTTTTGAAACAGACACTGTTATGGTTTGTGTCTGGGTGTCCCCCCAAAGCCTCATGCGGTCATGGGGCAGGCTTTTAGGGTTTGATTGATTATGGGTGTGAGAGCTACACCTGCCCTGGGGTGGATGGTTTGCATACGTAAGGGAGAGGAAGAGGCAACTTGCTGCCATTCCTCCCTTGTGTGTGCTTGTTGCTTTGGCTGTGTTCTGCCTCCATGAGCTGTAGCCCTCTGCCATCTGCCACTCTGCCTTGTAACCTGCCAAGTATGGACTAAAACCTCCACAAACTGTAAGCGAAATAAACCTTTCCTTCCTTAATTTTGGGCGTCAGGTATCTTGTCCCAGCAATGAGAGAAAAGTAACCAAGACAGACACACAAAACTATTCATTATTTCAGGGGAGGAGGGCTTTCCAGGATGGCTTCTCTTTTGCTTTCTTCCATTCCACACTGTTTAGATTTTACCGATTCATGTACTACTTCAATAACAAACTTGTTTCAATCTTTTTAACACAACATCCTACTTCTATGCTGCAACCTTTCCAGCTGGAGCTGCAAGGAGAGAATTCAAGAATAGGGAAAGACCTTCTATTCATATAGTTTTCATCCCTCTTGCTGAACCTGCATTAAGACCACTGACCCCCTCTCCAAGGTGACCATTGTTCCACTCATCCCCGAAGCCACTACCCCAGCTCAGGGGCATTCTCTGCCCACAAACCACCCCAGCCTTCCAGCCCCACACTTCCTGCAGAGATTCTCTTTCTAAAATGTGATTCTACCCAGGTCCCTTTGATCTCCAGTGGTTGCTATTATGCAAAGAAGTCTATTGAGTTGGCCTCTGAGGTGCTGTAATGGGTGCTACACAACAAATCCTGCTTCTAAGCCTATGCTCAGCACACACCCCCATCCTGCTCCATCCCCAGCCACTTTCAATTCAAGCTCCAGGTCTTCCACCACCTGGACTCAGTCATGTTGCCTGGGACCCCACTGTGCACCAAGCACCCGGAAAGGGAATCATAAATTACCTTGCTATATTTTCCAGGTGAATCCTTCCAGGAAATTCTTAACCTCTGAGCCTCAGAGAGAAAATGAGAATAACTAACCTGCCCAATGTCAGAAGTCACAAGAAGTAACCTCTTAATTATTGTAGTCATCCCTCAAATGTTTAACCTTTCATGGGCTACACGTCATAATTCAGTTCAGCACCACAACAGTGAAGAGATCCCTTTTAGACAAAGCTGAGACATTGCCGGGTTAAACAACTGGCCCAAGATCACATAGCCAGGAAACGGAAGAGACAGGATTTGAATCCAGGACGTCTGGCCTCAAAGTCCTGAGTCTGACCCACTACATTATGTTGCCTCCCTGCTAAGTGCCTGGGCTTTGTATTCAACTGGGCTGACTCAGATCACACACTCTTCCCACAGTGCCACAGAAACCTTTCCTGACCCACCAGATGGCTTCTCTTTCCAGTCGCCCGACTACAATGACCATCCTTTTCCTTCACAGCCTAGTTTCCAGCCATTCCTAAAAGTGTCACCATCCTAGACAGCCTGTAGGAACACACTGCCTGTCTTGTTTCTAATCACGGTGCTTCATTCAGCCTGCAGAGGTTTGCCTGCATCACACAGAGCTTTCTGTCAAATTCTCAGGGTCCATAGGACCTCCAGCCCAGGACAAGGTGGCAAGACACACTGTTCCCTATTCAATTTGCTTTAGCTAAACTGGCAAACTCACAAGTTCAAATCTTGGCTCTAACTCCATCCTGTACAACATGTTACAGCGGACAAGCAACCTCAACTCTGAACATCTCTGCCCTCCAGTGTAACCCTTATGCACACCTTAAAGGGCTATGGTGGAAAATTCAATGTGGCCGTGTATGCAGAAAAGCTAGTACTTAGAAAGTACATGATATATCTGCTACTGTCATTGTAAAAATGGGCCCCACAGACCCTCAAAAGCAGGAAGCTTCTCTGTCTCTCTGTGTTTTTTTTTTTTTTTTATTGTTGTTGTTGTTTGTCTTTTTGAGACAGAGTCTTGCTATGCAGTGCAGGCTGGCCTTGAGCTCACTTTGTAGTCCAGGCTACTCTCGAACTCACAATGATCCTCTTGCCTCAGCCTCCTGAGTGCTGGGATTACAGGTGTGTGCCACCATGCCCAGCTGTCTCTGTTTCTATGTCTGTCCCTGTCTCCACCTGTCTCTGTCTGTCTCTCTGTGTCTGTGTCTCTGTCTCTATCTGTCTGTCTGTCTGTCTCTCTCTCTGAGAACCCTGAGCACATTTCAACACCTCAAGCCTCAGTCTGCTCCTTTGAGCTATGGAGATAAGCTTCTTATTCATAGGGAAAGAGTGAGACCAGGGAAAGTCTAACACAGAAGACATCATAAATCCCCTGTCTCTCCAGAAGAGGGCACCTCAGAGGCTGCAGGGTAACTGGACAGCCATCCTCATAGGATGTAGAAGCAGAACATCCAGGTTTTAGCACACACTGACCTGCTACATGGCCTATGCTCCCCAATATCCTCTACACAAAATCAGAGAACTAATCAAAGTCTTTCTCAAATCACAATACATCCAATTACTCAGCAAATATGTATGGGGATCTTTTTCATGTATCGTGTATATTCTTGGTACTAGGATACAATGGTAACTAACAACATGACCACTACAATGATAGAATTTACAGAGGAGATAGAGCTGTAGCTCAATGGTAAAGCATTTACTTAGCTCATGCAAGACCCTGAGTTCAATCCCCAGCACCAAAACAATGGTCCACTGATTGCTGTGATGGAGTCAATTAATGGCCTTCCTGTAGCTACAGCCTTTATTTAAGTTGTACTGCCTTCTCACTCTGAACGTGTGCTGCTGGTCTTGTGATTTTCTGTGGCGAATAGGATGCAGGAGAAGTGATGGTGTCCTAGATCAGAGTTCAAGTCTCAGGAGGACTGGTGAGCTTCTGTCTTATAGGATCCTGCAATGCCATGAGAATGGCCTGCACTAGCCTACTACCAGAGGACAGAAGACCATAGCTGACAGCCGCCCACTGCTGCATACGCCCTAGGAGGGCCCTACCAGTCTCAGGTGGCATATGAGGGAGTCCAACCACAGCCACAACTGCCCCACTGAGCTCAGCCCAAACCACCAGCAAAATCAGGAGTTAAATAAATGTTGGTTGTGGACAACCATCAAGGTTGAGGGTAATTAGACAGCCAGTAGACTACTACACAGGTAACCTCTGATAGATCTAGGAAGACGAATTAAAAGAACAGCTGCAGAAACAACAAAAACAAAAACAGAACAGCTGCAGTTCAAGCACTTGCTGTACCTGAGGTCATCTTTATCAACTGTAAACCTTGCAAAATGAAGTGCTGATTGGCATTCCTCTACCATACAGGTATCTGACCCTGCTCATCCCTAAAGGCGACCCACCTTGCAAGAGAGGATGTTCCCAAAGGTGGAGAAAGTATCGTACAAAGCCTTGCTGTCAATGGAATCCTCCAAATTCTTTATGAAGACGTTGCCCACACCTGACTTTCGAAGTCCTGGGTCTCGCTGAGACCACATGATTCGGATGGGTTGACCTTTGATCACCTCAAAGTTCATTGTGTCCAGTGCCCGTTCCGCTAGACAGGAACAAAGGAGGAGAAGGAGCAAGTTAAGAGGATTTTCTGACCCTGAACCGCCAGGGTGCTTAATCAAACTCATTGTCTGGGTCTCACCTGAGACACGAACCCAAAAGCTCAAGAGGGATAAGCAGAGCAATTAACACACATGGTGATCCTCCGCCCATCTTCCATTACATCCTCACCACAGCCACATGAACATGGATTCCTAACCCCATCTTACAGATGGGAAAGCCTGGGGTCTGAATGGTTGAAAGGCCAGTGGTACAGCCAGGTCTATTCTGGCCTCTACAGCACACTGAGTCAATAAGAACATTAAGGATGGGTTCATATGAGAAACGGTGGCAGCAGTTTGAGGAAATTAGAAGTGATCAAGTGCTAAGTAACAGTTCAGATTCCCCAAGAAGTTTGGCTTTCAGGGAACGGAGTACCACCTCTCCAAGCCCATTTCCTTATCTGTAAAATAAGTCTGATGATGTTACCTACCTTTCCATATCCGAAAAAGGACACCATAGCATCTACCTCCTGGTCCGAGCAGTAGTGATCAGATTGAAAAGTAAGGCATACAAGTTAGTAAGAATTGCCTCCTCAGTATTCTATAGCCATGATGGGGAGGAGGCCAAGAAGAGAAAACAAAGAGACTGAGAAAAAAGCTGCTTTTGCTGCACCACTAAGAGAAACAGATCCCAGGTCTGATTCCCGGGGCTCCAAGAACTCGACAACTGCATTCATCTGCTACCACTATTAAAAGCCAGGCTACCTCAAGAGGAACTGCCCTAAGAGGCCCCATGGGCCATGCCCTGGATGCAAAGGAGACCACTGGAGATCGGTCTGCCCTCTGAGGTGGAGGCCCCAGAGCTCAGACCCATGCTACCAGTTAGTCCAACAGGAATGAGAGGGCTTGGGGCATGGTCTGCCTTCTCCCTCTGGCCAGACGGTCATCTCTATCGAGGAGTCCTGGGTAATCATGACTATGGAGGAACAAGAAAACAGCCTGTTGCTAGTCACAGGTGCAAGTCTCTCGGTCCTTCTTTTCAATCCTGGCCTTCCTTCCAGCCATCATACCTCAGTGGTGAGGAGGTAATATGCTATTTTTGACAACCCTTAGGCTGTAACTGCTTATTAGATCCTTCTTGTATATCTCTGTCTTCCTGAGAAACCACTTTGAAGATACCACCATGTATTACAGCAGCCATTGATATTTTCCTACTAATCTATCCATAACTGTGTTAAGTTTGTAATGTTCCTATTCTATTTCATAATGTATGTTTATTATTATGTGTTTCCTACAACAACCACTGAGAATAGTTAATGATTTTTCAATAGGTCACTCATGTATAGCTCTATTTTCTTTAGAAGCCACTTTGAAGATACCAAAGTATAGCACAACAACTCTTGATAATCTCCTACCTCTTTTGTCTCTAACTCAGTATTATTTGTCTGTTTTCCTGAAAAACTATTTTGTAGATAATAATATGTAAAACGATAACCATTGATAATTTCCTACCATTTTGTCTGTAATTTGCTAAGTCCCCCCTATTATTATGTTATCCTTCTTTTATTCTTTAAAATTAAAAAAAAATAATAATAAACAAATAAATAAATTTAAAAAAAAAAAAAAAAAGAAAAGTAAGGCATACAAGACTTGTTTGTTTGGTAAATGGCAGTGTGTCCGGAAATAGCAGCCTAGGGTACTCTCCTGTCACTGCTACATCCTCTTCCCTCCCCAGGAATATGCACAGAGCTGCCCTCTCTTGGGGTGCTCTGCTAGTTTCAAAGGGAGGGAGGGAGGGAGCTGGGGGAGTGCGGCAGAGCAAGTCTCAGGAAGTCTGAGTTCTCCAGCTAGTCCATCTAGAGCACCCAGAGGCAAAGCTCTTCCTCTCTGCGGCTCACTTCTTCCGTCTATGAACTGGGACCAAAGTATCAGGTCTGTTCACTCAGGGAGCCTGCTGATGGCTTGGGGGAAGACAGAAAGAGGCAGTGGGGAGAGCAGAGCACAGCAGAAAGCATCCCAGAGCCCAGCTGAGTCACAGCAAAACCCCAACTGGGGAAGCTCCGTCCCAGCCACCCGCCTAGACCTGGTGTAAAGTGCACTACTTCGGACTTGGCAGGGGCAGGTGCTTCGGGGTTGTGTTTACAGTGTTGCACCAGAATGGTACAGCTACTATTTTTCTTTGGGTTATCACTTAAGACCATGTACCAAATGTTATTTCATAAACACCAGCTTTCAGTTCTTTATACTACTGGGGAAAAAGGCCTAAGCCTTACTTCGTAGATAAAGTGGTGTCGAGGGTGGTCTTGGCCAAGCTCACAGCTTAGCAGAGTGCTCCAGTAGGGCTCTTAACCCTTCTCCTCCACTCCGAACAGGAAGTAATAGACATACTGTACGCACCAATCAGCTGGCAAACTCTAATTAATCCTATCAGCCCTGAGGGGCCTGCCGGAAGCAAGTGGATTTTCCAAGACAGGAAGGGTGCAGGCACCAGCTGTAGACCTCTGCTCAGGCTGCCGTGGAAAGGGGGAGCACAAGGCTTTGCTACTCCTCAGCTGTGTCGTCTTGGGCCTTTTCCTCTCCAGGTGCCTTTTTGTTTTGTTTTGAGATAGGTTCTCCTTATGCAGTCCAGGCTGGCTTCAAACTCTTGATCCTCCTGCCTCAGTCGCTCAGTTCTGGGATTACAGGTGTGCCCCATCACAGCCAGCTCCTCCAGGTGCTCTGAATCTCACAAGCACTCTTAAAGGTATGTAGGGCCCCCATTTTCCTGAGATCAGACCAGCGACAGCCAGATCTCAGAATGGTTGAGCAAGTCGCCCAACAGTTGCACAGCTGCTGGGTTTCAAGCCGCTTCTGCCTGATTCCAGTATCCTTAGTAGTTTCTCCCTGGCCTTAATCTCTAGGGAGCACCTCCTAGCACCCTAATTCTAGGCCTCAGTTTCCCCGACCGCAAAATGAAATGAAGAACGCGAGGCCAGCCTATTCCGGAAGGCTGTCTCTGGCTCACGCCCCTCCCACTCCACCTGCGCTCCGGGGGCTCACCATCTGCTGGCTGCTGGAAGTTGATGTAGGCATAGCCCAGCGAGCGCCGGGTGGCCACGTCGCGACACACGCGGATGGACAGGATGGGGCCCACGGGAGAGAACGTCTCGTAGAGCATGGCTTCGGTCACGTCCGGGTGCAGGTCGCCCACGTAGAGCGAGGAGAGGGGGTGGCCCTGGCTGCCGGCGTGCATGGCGGGCGGCCGCGCGGGAGGTTCCAGTCGGCTGCGCCGGCCCGCCCCTTCCCTGTACCGCCCCGGGGCCCTTCCCTTTACCGCCCCGGGGCTCCTGCGCACCAATCACCAGCGCCTGGCCCCACCCCTCCTGGGAGTCCCTGGCATTCTCATGACGCAGGTGGGGGACATCTCTGACCCCGCCCCTAAGAAGGGAGAGCCCCGCGCTGATTCTGGTTTAGGGTAGCCACCTCCGTAAATGGGGAGGGTAGGACTGCAGGGTAGGTTCTAATCCCAGGTCTTTCGTTGCCTCTCTGCACCCATTTTCCTTCTCTGTAAAATGGGAAAGACTCCCTCTTGTGAAGGTCAATCCTAGCACGAGACCCTATTTCAGCATTTGTGTGCAGAGTATCATCACGCGGCCACAGAAATGCCTCAAACACCTTGACCCAGCTCCACCCTTCTGAACGGAGGATGGAAGGCTTTGGCGACCAAGGGCTGCGCAGGAGAAGCCTAAGGCCTTCTAAATTCCACTAAAGCTGTTATACTACCAAGACCTCTTTCTTCCTCAAATATTACCTCCCACTTCTGTGGCCTAAACCTTTTTTCCTGTGTTCCAACAGGGGGTTATTGTGACCCAGCTGCAAGAGAACAGGAAGGACGTAACAGCTGAGCACAGTCAAGGCACAAGCCCTGAACTAGTAAGAGGAGGTCAATCTGGGCTTGCTGCAACAAGACATGTGGTAGGAGAATGTGTTATTAAAATCCAACTCTGTGGTAGACTAACACCTCACCTTGCTTCTCTCAGGCACTCTCCTGCTCTTCTGAAACAAAGCAAGTTCCCACTGACCTGGTGTGGCTTCCACAGGTGGAACAGCTCCCAAGGACACAGGAATGCTGGTCTGACTGTCCAGCCTCATACAAGGAAGGAAGCACCAATTGATTCTAATTTGGGGCTAAAAAACCACTCCTTTATCCTGCCTTTTTCCTCTCCTGGGAAATGTATTTTTAGGAGTGGGGAATCTCCCATGAGGAAACAGTACTGTAGGTAAACAGCAACAGGGCGTAACACAGGCATGAGTATTAACCACGGAGATGACCAAGACTTAGAAAGTTTCACTGTATCTCTAGCTTGGTTTTATTTCAGTTTTTCTTTTAAAAAGGAATGGGGTTTGAAAGCAATGTTGTGCTGGGCGTGGCGATGCACGCCTGTAATCCCAGCACTCGGGAGGCTAAGGCTGAGGCAGGAGGATTCTTGCCAGTTGGAGGCCAGGCTGGACTACAAAGTGAGTTCAGGGCCAGCCTGAACTGCACAGCAAGACCCTGTCTCAAGAAGACTGAAAAAAACAACAAAAAAAAACAAATGAAAGCAATGTTGTCCACACTAAACCTTACAAGTCACAAAGGACCTAACACCTGGATGGTTTGCTGTGGAAGGTGGAGAGGCAGCAAGTAATGGGTGGGACGAGGATATGACAATTTCTTCCCCTTTGCCACCACACCTTGACTTCTGATTCCAAAGAATAAAAATAAACCCGTTTTCCTATTTTTAAAGAAAATAGAGCCAAAAATAAGTGTGATCACAATAGTTAGATCTCGTAGTGATAGAGATGGGGTTAACACATCAATTCACAAGCAACTAACTGATAAAATTTTTTATTTTGCTTTTGAATTTTTACACTTTTCCTGATTATTCCGTGTAAGGTGAAACTAGAACTGTTTAAAAGACATACACAAATCTAGTACATCAATAACCAGGGGTTTTTCTTTTTTGCTATACTATTTCACAACCACAGGTGTGCTTGCTAGGCAATATAACCATCACAGAAGCAAACATTAGGCAGAATACTGGTAAGGAAAAACAAAGCAAAGAGCTACCAGATATACAGACAGGCTTGGTTCCACATTCACTACTGCATTTTCAAGCGCCAAGTATGAACTGCACATTTTTTTTCAGCTAGAGAGGAGAGAGGGATTTTTTTTTTTCTTTTTTGGTTTGTTTTAAATCAGTGCATGTTTTCTCATTTCAGCAGATGAACCAACAGATAGATGCTACAGCTACATGGAATGTTGAAGGTACAGGGGTGATACTGTGAGGCCAAAAGGCCTGGCTACTCTTGATTCTCTCCACGGCAGTGTCCATGCAACTTCCCTGCATCACAGGGTCTTGTTTAGACATGTCTGAGTACTGAGCTGGATGAGTACACCTGGACCTAGTGATGGACACAAGCATTACTGGGGCTGGATGCAATGCAGGGCGAACTCATGAATATTCAGAAAAATTTTTTTGGATTCAGATCATGGTGTGACTGAAGAGCAAGCATGCTGAGAACTGGAAGAAAGGCCAGAAGCTCTTCAACAACTCTCTGAAGCAAGGCCTGCTCACCAGCGTCTCTCACCCTGTCCATACAGTACAAAAAGTGAACAACAGACAAAGAGGAAATTCCGAAAGAAAAGAAGGTAAGGAAGCAGGACATAAAGAGGGAAAGCAAAGCCAAAGTTAACAGCCAAAAAGACAAGGGAAAAAGTGTTTTGATTTCAAAATTCAAATGCTCAAAGCTAGGACAAACCCCAAGTACTCTCACTTGAGTACTCTTCAGGTGAGAGGGGATCTCCACAGAGCATTATTCTCAAAGCTGTTATCCAGCAAACACAGGGTGGCTTTCCCCTCTTTAGCGAAGTGATAATAAGGAAAAAAGATCCCACTGTTTTCACAAGTTGCAAACAGTAACATTGCCATAGGAAAGGGAGTTTAGTAACACGTTATAGGAGCACTGGACCTTTTCACGGTGTCATAACCCAGTTATCTGCCACAAAGAATTTCAATTTCAGGCTTTGAGTTTCCTCAGAGGAAGACACTGTAGACATTTGTGGTTATGAACTTTAGAGCGGCAACAGCCCAAACTGGTCAAGTGCCTGTAACCTGAACCACAGCAGAATTACTGTGAATTACCATTAATCTTGGATGCCAAATGGTAAGTGCCTCACTCCAAGTCCCAGCATCACAATAAAATCTATAACTTTCTGTACAACTTTACAACAGAATTGTATTTTAGTGACCATTTTGATATCAGATTAAATTTCCCAAAAAGTTACACATAATTCAGGTCTATTTTTCTACCAGTAAGAGTTCTGCTAAGTTACAAAACCCCATAATCACAGTGTTCAGTTTTTAAAAATTAAACAGTAATCCTGTCAATGTTAATCAAAATCAGAGCTTCAAAATGCTGTGGCATTTATGTGACCAATCTGAGTTTTAGATTGATACCAGCTGTTTATCCTATGGACCATTCTTGCTAGACTGAGGCTGTGAAAAATCGAAAAGTCGACGTACGAATTTTTTTTCTTTTTTTTTTTTTTTATCACACAAAGGGATATACGTGGAGGGTACAGAGTGACACTGAACAGATCACAAAGCACAATAGACATTAGTTTTCTCCCTCCCCAGCATCTCCTTCATCGCCCTGGTTTTCCGACGTCCAAAGCTGCAAGGGAAAAGAAAAAAAGCTATAATCAAAAGAGAGCGACTAAAACTCAGGGTGGCACGGTCTGTGCCTTATCTCACTCAACCATTTAAAACACCTCCTGTTTTATTGTAGTGATGACTGCCAAGGTCAAAACATTAGCAATGATTTTTAATTTAACAGTTTATACTTTTAGCCATATTTTACGCAATACAAATTCCTCTTCAATCTTTGATAATAGTAACTACTGAGTAGATAAATAGGAAAGAGACTATAAACTCTCCAGAAACACTTACAGTGAGATTGTCCCTAAGTAACTGCATGATCAGTGTACTGTCTTTGTAGGACTCTTCATTCAGTGTATCCAATTCAGCAATGGCTTCATCAAATGCCTAAAACAAACAACCGTTAGCAGGAAATCTACAAGTTCTCTGAAGTGAGTTTAGCCCAACATCTTTTCTGCCAACAGGTGATTATTATTTCTCTTCTTCCGTAGTATTTTGGAGGAACTTGGGCTATTATTACTTTCTTTGCTAGTTTCTTCAAGAAGTATACCATGCATATTTATAAAGCACCAACCAACAACGATGATAATTCCTAGATTAGAACTTTGCTTTACCTAACAAGTAAGCATTATTACTGCTAAACGTAGCATACTTCTTTCAGGCAAACTCATGGAATTCCTTTTTTGTCTTGCCATATTGGGGACTGCACCCAGGGCCATAGCCATTTTATTTTTTATTTTGAGAAAGTGTCTTGCTAAATTGCTAAACTGCCCATACTGGGCTCAAACTTGCAATCCAATCCTCCTCCCTTAGCCTCCCAGAGTGTTGGGATTACAGGCACTCACCACCATGCCCAACTGCAATTTCTTGACTACTAAAGAAATTACTAGTACTCCCTTAAAAAAGAAAAAAGAAAAAAAACCCTCAAAAATTGTAGATACAAAAGACAAGTGAAAAAGAGTGAAGCTCTTCACTAAACCTGATTTGCTTAAGTGGACAACTAATTTCAGCTACCTTTTCTAAATTTAAAAAATAAAAAGTAGCAGTGCACAGCTTGAAAGATAATAAACACGAAGCACATGAAGAAATACCTGATTCCTTCTGTTTACACAGCCACAGGCTCATATCTTAGTACAAACAAGCATGACAATACATAACCAAGTCCCAAAGTTTGACGACAAACAAACCAACCTCACCTAGAATTTTCTACCACCATCCTCAAAAAACAGTAATCAACTCAAAGTCAGTAGGTGTTGAGAAGGAATCACAAGTAGGTTTGTATTTCTTTCAAAGATAACCCTTCTCTAAAAAATATTTTTTAAAAAATTCAAGACAACGCGGGATAAAAAGAAGTTAAATCAGAAAGCACCGCACTGCCTTCTACGAAAAGAGACCACCAAGGGTCCTTCTCACCGTTTTTGCCAGGCTGCAGGCCTTTTCAGGAGAGTTCAGAATCTCATAGTAAAAGACTGAGAAATTAAGCGCCAGGCCAAGTCGAATTGGGTGTGTTGGCTGCATTTCTTTCTTACTAATTTCAAATGCTTCCTGGTAAGCCTGCTGGGAGTTCGACACAGTGGCTGCAAGAAAGAGGACAAAAATTAAGGGATGCATTACACACTAGATTTGCTATCAAATTATTTTAACAAACTAGGCTGACGCAAATGAGCCATCAAAATGAGGTGTCAGTGCCACCACCATTCAATTAAATGTCTGTTAAATGTTTATCTTAAATCAGGTATTATACTATATTAAATACTTTGGGGTAAACAAAGATGACTGTGATAGTCTAAAGGAGCAGCTAAAATACACAGGCATAGCCTTTAACAAGAGAGAAAGCAGAAAACATTATGCCCTAGTAAACAGAAAACAGGCTTTGACAGTCAGCAGACCCAAACTTTAATCCCCACCTTTTACTTCCTAGGTATGTGGGTTTGTGGCTTGGAGCAAGTAAAACCCTCTGTTCATAAGTCATGCCTTCCTTTATTAGAAAACCAGGCAGACTTCCACCTGTCAAGAAGTTATATGAGGATAAATAGGACTCCAAAGTATTTGGCACATAGTAGGCACTTAATGTACGCTATAATTATCAGAGAAATGCATCATGATAGTGGTTTTATACCATCAGATACAGTTAAGTCTCTCTTATCTGTGCAGTGTATGTTCCAACACACCAGTAGATGCTTAAAACTATGGACAGTACTGAGGCCTGCACAACTTTTTTATACACACATACCTCTGGTAAGTTTATGAACTAGGGCACACTAGATTAAAGATCGCTAATTACAATACAGAGCAGCTATAAAAAACAGTGTAATACAAGTTTACACTTTGCAGTGGTAAGTAAAGTAAGGGCT